ATTATGTTGATGCTTAGTGTGTACTTCCTTTTTTTGCGTTTAATAAAATGGATTTTTTTTCCTGACATTAAAAAATCTATATAATATATATGGAAACATATAGCTTATAGGCATTGTTTTGAGACTTGGATGGTTGAATTATCACTCGATGGAAAAAGCAGTTTGATTCGACCACTTAACCCATTATAATAATTAGCTTGCTTTGATTGAGGGTGGGTTTTGAAAACTCGGCAAAAACCCAGAATCCATAATTGTTGGATTGCTTTGACCTATTTGTTCTTTTTCTTTTACTCTTATTTTATTAATAAAAAATTTTATTCAATTTAAAAATATTAATGTCAAATTACTTTTGGTTATTATAGTAAAATCTTAAATGCACAATTTGTTTGTTGGCATTATGTCAATGAAATCTTATTTTAAAAGAACAAATAATGTAAATAAAAAGATATATATATATATATCTATATATATATATATATATGTAAAACCAACGAAGGATGGGTCTAATAGAAAGAGTTAAACTCTCACAACGTGACGAACCAAGGTTTAAGTCCATGCTAGAAGAAATGCCTACATCTATTGTCCAATTGTACCTCGAGCGAAATTATTTTCAATAGAAGGATACCTATGAATAATAAATAAATATACACACGTGAAATAAATAAAAAAATTAAAATTAATATGTTATGAACTATGAATTAGAAATAATATTATCAATACCTTTATTGATATATATATATATATATTTATGTTTATATAAATATTATTTTTTTAATTTAATTATTATGTTATTAGTTCGGTTTAATTGGTAAAACCATTAGAATTATAACTTGCTAACCTTTTTAGTTCATCATCTTGTCAGGTTTTTAAAATATTGCATATTGGTCCCGTTTCATTGGTGGAAAAAAATGGAGTGAAATGCATTGCATTGATAAAAAATAAAATGAACTAAAATAAAGTTATAAATTGATAGAGAGGTGATGATGATATAGAAATAAAGGCCATGTGAGTGAAAATGGAGATCGATATGAATAAGGTCATGAATCTTCATTCCCACCTATCCATCACTCTATGACCCTCACCTTTTTATAATTCTCATCTCTTCATCATCCCACAATTTTATTTTTTTATCAAGATGTTTTATTCCATTCCATTTCTTTCGAGAACATATTTTTTTAACCAAGAAATATCTCACACTTGTTGTTGCTCTTGAATCAGTGTCATATTGTTATATTTTTGTTTCAAATAGCAAATTTAGTTCATCTAATAAGTTTGATATGTATTGAATGAATTATTTTTGTGCTGTATGTTTCTCTGAAACACAACAAGGAAAAGGAATGAGCAAAAACCACTCGCTTTCTGGCTTTAATTTAGAGATAGACATTATTGTGCATTATTTCAAATGTCAGAGAAAATGGCACAATCAAGTGAGCCCATGAGTCATGTCTTTCTCTTTATATTATTGTCTTCTCTTTTTTGTTTCCACGTGATTTTCTATTTGAATTAGTACTGTCCCAACACGCAATTTTTAGATATGCTTGCTTGGGTGAAAAGAAAACATGAGAAAGAAAAAATAATGTTAATGATTATTTTTATTTTTAATATATACACAAAAAGTTACAAATGTCTTACACTCAATTATGAATTAATTCTATTTATCAATTTTAAAAATTTCATTCATTATCATCTTAACATCAAAAACACAGGACGTTCGTTAGTCATCAATAAGTCTCATTATTCTTTTAATATTTTTTATCAAGTCAAGGGTCATTTTTGCCTCTCCACTCAAATATTTTATAATAATAAAATATTAAAAATATAATATGGAGTCCACTAATGGTCAATTAACTGTAAGAAAATGGAAGGATGATGAGGAAATTTTTTTTTAAATTTTATGGATAAAATTGACTCATAATTAAATTTAAAAGTATTTGTGATATTTCGTATATAGTTCATAAATAAAAATAATCATTAACCAAAAAAATACATATAAAGTTGTTAAAAGCTTAAAATAGGAGGGAAAGAAATCAATAGATTCATATATAGGCAATTCTTGTTCTACAAGCAAGTTATTGATTTTTAAAGAGGCACACTTTCCAAATTGGAAGTTGTTGTCCTGAGATCTTCCTTAACTAGGAGGCATTAAGTTACTGAGACTCTTTCAGATGAAAGCTTTGTCATCAAGTACTACTCTATTTATAAGTCTCGAATTCAAAATATCTAGTTAAGATAGTACATTTTACTTATTAGTTGCACTGAATACTTATTGATTTATTGTTGCTTTTGATTTTGATTTCACATGATTTTTCAATTAAAAAGATATTCAAGTACTTTATAATAAAATCACAGAGAATTAGAGACAATAATTTTGTTGCTAGCCCAAAAAAAAACAATTGTTATAAAATATAACTACTATGAAGAGTAGAGAATAATAAGACAATATAAATGAGAGAAAAAACAATCGAGTAAAATTCTTATTCGTTTAGGGCGTATGGGTTTTAGACATGACGTCTATTTATGAGCCTCTAAACATTTAAATCATATTCTAATATTACAAAGCTATGAAGAAGCATATGATGATATATTATGTAATTTTTAAGAATTATAGGCTATTAATAATAAAAAAAACTCCTTTTGTATCACTCATTAGGACATCATTAGGACTTAAGAAAAAAAAAATCTTAAGAGTTTATGAGACATTCATAATATAATATTTATAATAACAATGAAGTTGTCGGAGGAAGGCAGAATTTAATATTCATATGATTCAATAATATTTGGTTCAAATTAGTTAAGCCTAAGTAATCATTTCATTAAAAAATATAAGATATTTTTTAAAATGAGATGTTAAAATGTATAGAGTATTTTGTATCTCTCAAGATACAATCAATGATGTTTTTTTAAAAACATCCTTAATTATGAATGTAATTATTAAAATTTTCTAATTAAAATACTATATCAAATAAGTTTAAATATAAAAGAAGTGTGTAAATTTAAAAATAATGAACTAATTTATTAAAATATGTAATTTAATAAAAAATGTATTTATAATATTAAAAAAAAAGTATAACTTTAGAAATATGGATTGGCGTCATAGTGGGTGAAAACACGTAAAAAAGAAAAGAGAACTTTATGTAAATTTATATATTATCATATACTTTTATTTAACATTCTATTTGTTAAATTTTTTTCCTTTCTTTAATATTTTCTTAGATAAACAATTTTGATGTTCTCCTAGAAATATTTTTGATAAAAAATAAATTAATTACTCATAAAAGTTTTAAAATTGCTCTATATCTAGAAGCATAAAAGTTCATAAACGGTTCTATTCTCTTTTCAATTCCAGTTTCATTTTCGTTTCCTTGCAATTCTTTGAAAAAGGCTTTGATCCTTCCAAACGAGGCCCAACAGATAGATGCAAAGTGTGTCATTTAAGCGGGCATGGTGGTGAAGATTCAAACCTAACAAAAGTAACAAAAAGGAGAATAATTGCATAATACGAGAATATCATGACATTAAATTGAAAAAAAGAAATTAAAAGGTAAGATTAAGACTGTACGTAATGTATTGGGAATGTATGAATTCATGGATAGAGAACAAATTCCGAATCCACTTTACTTTACGAGAGACTAATCAACTGCACTTTGGCATAACATCCCATTTTTTCAACCTCTTTGTTGTGGCCATCTCAACCACTTCACCTCCCACAGCATCACGTATCACTTCTTTATTATACCATTCATGATTCATATTATGCTTCCAAATAACTTTTCCGTTTGTATCCATTATCAGTTTTTTTAAAAATAATTTCAAAATTTAAAATACTTTTTTATATACCCATTTGATTGGATCATTTTATGTGTTTAGATAGACTCAAATGCAAGATATCGTGTTTATGTTATCATAGCTCTTTTTTACTAAAATTAATCCTCATGGGTTAAAGTACTTTTTTTTCCTTTTATCATAAGCTTGTTTCAAATTGTTTTATCTTTCAACATTGACATAGCATTTGATTAGTTTTAATTTTACTTTTGTTATTTTGTTTTATTTTATTTCAAATTGATTCTATAACTTTGTTTTAGATTTTGATTTTATATATTAATTAATTTTATCAGCTCACTCAATATATAAATTTCGTTCAAATGCTTATCTATCGAGAGAAAAGGAAACCTCTGAGTAATTTTTCAGAGATAGAGATCAGATTAAAATAAACCCAAGCTTGCAAAGAAATATGATATTTAAAAGTTGTTGGTCCTGATGAAAAATTAAATTTGAATGATAAAATGAATAGATCAACCCAAACTTTAATATTAGATTAAAATTTTGGTTGAAAATTAAATTTTAGATCAAAGTAGTGTATCCATTCAAATCAAATAAAGTAATAGACATGATAATTTTTTTTAAATTAAAGCATGATTTTTTTAAAATCTAATAATTAAAGATAATGGCATCTGGCATCTTCAAAGCGAGATTTTTATCATCGATTGATTGATTTATCTTTTATCCAACTTTATTTGATGTGATCTACTTATTCCGACACTCACATGTATATCCAAAAGAAGGGTCTTTTATTTATTTATTTTTAATAAGAGAAAGATATAAGGAAAACTGAAAAAGCTAGCAAACTTTGTAGTATTTTGTTAAAAATTAAGATAAGAAAAAAAGTTTTTATTTTCTACTCTCTTTATTTAAAAATATAAAATTTTTTTGAGAGATTAAATAAAAACACTTTTAATCTATTAAGATATAATTTTTTTAAAAAATATTCTTATTAATAATGACTTTATATTTATTATAAGATATTTAATAAAGATAAATATAAAAAAATAAAATTAGTTAAAAATAATTAATTATTTTATTAAAAAATAAAATTTAATTAAAAATATAAAATATTTTTAAAGGGAGTATCTGATTAAAAAAAAGAAACTAACCGTTTCAAAATAGCTTTCCTTGTAAGCGAGAGAAAATCAGAAAACTACCCATTAATCATTATACCCGCAACCGCGTCTAAACCGTTCCTTTGCAAATACTTAAATCCCCACCTCCGTCCCTAATAGCTCACTCGCCAACACTTTCCATTATCTTCTTCGCCTTCACGATTTTCCCACGAAGCAAGATCGTGTTTCTGGTTCAACCTTCGATCGGATCGGAATTCCTGAGATCATGTGCTGCGGAGGCAGGATGTGTATGCTGTGCACGTGCGTCATTCTCGTCGTCATCTTGATCGGCTTGCTTTTCGGCTTTGGAGTCTTCACCCATGGTTTCCACAAGATCAAGGATACCTTGAGTTACTGCGATCCCTCCGTCGCTGGTAGTGTCTGTGGCCGTGCAAGCGGAAGACCCTTATTGGGTCGCGCACCGGCTCCATTCTACTAGGGTTTTTCTTCTCTGCTCATTCCCGATTCATTCCTTCTCTGTTTCTGGGGATTTGCCACGAATTCCAGGGTTAGGGTTTCTTTTAATTTATTAATTGTTGATACTTTAATTTGAATTGAACAATGCTGTTTTGGTATCTGTAATTATCATTTGCATCTTCTTGGGATTCATGCTTGTTTATATTAAATAACTTGCTTTTTTTTCTGGTGTTGCTTTAATCTGCTACTTTATACTTGATTAGTATAGGCAAGTCTCGTCAATTTGCAATTTACAGTCCCGGGAATTCGTTGCTTTTTTACCCAAATTTCATCTGAAATTCTGAACATTTTAAATTTAAATTGAAGTCCAGGTATTCGTTGATAGAAAAATAAATTCTCTGCTCAGCTCATAATCAAAATATTTTTTTCTCAACTCTTCCCTGGACATGAAAAGACTTTTTTTTTTTTTTTTTGCTTTTCTTGTTGTCGATCATCACATGAAACTAAGTAGTAGTTTTGAGAGATAACGCAAAATGTGTATAAATTCGAATCAAGCATGTTACTGTGCTTTGGGATGAGAATCTGGGAATATAATATGGGCTTGCTTGGAGACAAGTGTAGAGTGAGGATCTTTTCGGATGGTTATTGATTGAGTTTAATATTCTAGAATTTGGGAGGGGACTGTAACGTTTGGAAAAAACCTTTTTGACCAAAACGTTATGAACTTTGGCTATGTCAGATTTGGTCACCATGATTTTCTTAACCGATCCTTGTATTGGCAATTACAGATAAATAAGATGAAGATTATGATAAATTTAAACCCTGGGGGCCAGAGTTTGTAAATTTTAAAGAACAAAAGAAATAGTTTACACTGTACATTAAAAAATGTGAGATATTTTTAATTCAATTTTATTTTTTAATAAAATAGTTACTTGATTTCAAACTTCATTATTTATATTTACATTTATTAAATATTCTATAATAAATATAAAATTATTATTAATAGAGGTATTTTTTTTAAAATAATAATTATATCTTAAAATATTAAAAATATTTTATATTTTTAAATGGAGAAAATAATTAATTTCAAATGTATTTTTATGCAATACAAAAACAAATCCATGCCTCAAGTAATTAAAATTTACAACGAGCCACGCATATCGAATTATCAACATTAGTCTCTGCTTTCCACAATTCCACTAACGCATGTCAATAGTACTTGCAAATAAATTAATCGATTCAAATAAATAAAATCGCAAGTATTTGACATGATAAATATAATACTTGAAATTAATGTTTAATAGACAGAGTTAACCTCTCACATTCAATTTGTATAGATAAATTTATTTTATGAATATATATTTTTCAATTTGAGACATTAAAATATCCCAAAACCATCTATATTGGTGTTAGTATTAGTAATTTGGCATGCATCAGAAAGCATGTCAACTTTTGAAGTAGTTTTTATTATTTATTTTAAGCAAAATTAATTTTTTAATTTCTATAGTTTTGATTCAATTATAATTTAATTTTTGAAATTTAACTCGTTATAACTTAATTTTTAAAGTTTTAATTTTATTGTAATTTAGTCTTTGAATTTTGACTCGATGTTACTTAGTTTCTGTGCTTTTAACAATTTAAAATATTAGTCTTTATATTTTAGAAAATAAAATTAGAAATACTAAATCTTTATAATTTTTATTGAATTAAAAGTTTTTGTAATTTACAATTAATTCCTAAGGCCTCGTTTGGTATGATGAAAGAGTTTTTAATGGAATTGAAATCGGAATCGGAATTGGAATCAGAATCAGAATCGGAATAGAATTGAGTTTTAAAAGTGTGTTTGGTATGAAGATGAAATTCTAATATAATATTAATTTATATATGTACTTAAAATAAGAAAAGACTAAATTGCCCTTTTTTTTAAGTTAAAAAGACCTATCTTGTTATAAATGAACAAAAAAGATAAGGATAGTAGGGTCCACAAATTGAATTCAAGGGAATCGAAGCAATTTCATGGTCAATATAATGAAATTGGATTCTAGCATTTTTGGTGGAATTAGGATTCTTAGGAATTACAACTATTGCATACCAATCATGCTTAAATTAGGATTCCATCTTTGATTCCATTTCCACCTTGCCAATTCAATGCTACCAAATATGACTTAAATGTCAACATAATTTTAATTTTTAGAATTTTATTTTCAAGGTATAAGGATCAATATTTTAAATAGTTAAATTATAGGAACTAAGTTTCAACGAGTTAAAAGTTTAGGGATTGAATTACAATCGAGCCAAAGCTTTAAAGATTAAATTATAATGAGTTAAAATTTAAAAATTGAGTTATAATTAAATAAAAGATATATGGATCAAATAATTAATTTTTTTTATCAATGCTGAGAGTTGGATAAACTATAAATGACATGATATACCCAATCTATCTAAATATCTCTAATGGTAAAATAGTTTGAAGTGCATTGAAATTGGAAAGAGTGTCCTGTATGTCAGATACTTTTGTTAATCACTCAAATCCTAAATTCCTGCACTGAAATGTAAATCAAGTCGTAAGGGAGGAAAAAAAATTCTGTCACTCTTTTTTTTGGGGGGGGGATAAAATCTGTTATTATTGTTATAGTCATTTTTTTTTTGGTAGAAAAAATTTTAGATGAATTAGATCTCAAGACTCACTATGATTAGAGTAAGCTCTAAGCTTAAAGAGTCTATTAACAAAGTTCTCGCATCACAACCTGATTTAATTTTACGAGTTATGAGCTAATTTTACTAATTAAACTAATCTTTATAGGTTATTGTCTTGGTCCCCAAAAACATCTCAATTGGTTACTGTCAAGTGTCAACATTTATTTTTCGTCAAAATTGGGTTACATAAAGTGGGAAATTAGGAAATTAAAAAAACCGCTTACGATTTTGTAGTGCCTTGGGCCTAAGCCATTAAGGCAAACCAACCTATATCAAGCAAAGGGTCATTGCAGAACGTGGAGGGGGAAAGACCAATGAGCGCTTGTCTACTAAAGAGGCTAGTTAAGGGACACAATTACTCAAATTTTGAGGCTAAAGATTAAGATGTGGACATATCAAGAAATTTTTTGTTTGAGCTTCTCTATAGAAGTACTCATTAATTTTATAAAAAAAATAATATTTTTTAATTTGTTAAGTTTTTTTTCTCTCTAACCCATCAAGTTTAATTTTTAGAAATTAGAATTTAACAGTCAAAATCAAATTATTTCAACAAATGAAAGAAGATTGGTTTTTTTTACAAATTTAATGAATACCTATGCATTATTATTAATTTAAAGATATTAAAATTTATTGGAAAATTTTTTTAAAACATTTTCACGCCTTAACCCTTTCGTTTTTTCACCATATAGGATGATATTTTTATATAACTATTTAATTGGAATAAATTTAAACATTGGCAGACACGAAATAAAAATAAAGAAATAAAGAGTTAAGAAACAATCATCCAACAAACTAATAACAGCCTAATAACACAAAGCCTAACCCTAACAACAAGATCAAGGGAAGCAAAAAAAAAAAAAATCAGAATATCATCAATTAATTAATAATTCAGAATCCCCAACATCTAAAATTTTTCTTGGCATCACAGATTTTTATCTGTGGAGGTGTATTTGACGTATCATTAAGATTATTCTATATGATACTTATTAAAAAAAAATACATGGGTTTTTGTTTGTCCCTTCTTAACGGTTTAAAAATTAAAAGAAACATCATACCAAAAATTATTTAGAGTTGTCACTGCTTTCAGATCTATAATCTAAGAGTAAATTTGTCATTTAACTTTTCACCAAAAAAAAAAATTCATTTAACCTTTTTTTAATTAACACAACAAGGTGTCTCTTCAACATAATTAGAAAAAATTTAAAACAATTTTAGTTGCATATATAAGAATTAATGAATTTCTCTATGAATTAGAATAATTTTTATACAGCATAAATAGTTAAATCCTTAATAAATAATTTAATTAATGTAATTTTTTTTTTTAAAGGCAATAGCGAACAGGTCAGAGACTCAGCATGAGAGTCGAGGACGCATCTTTCGGTCTTTCGCCTTGCAAGCTGCAAATATTTTATTTATTTTGTTCAACATTTTTACGTGTACTTTATTCAACGCTAAGCTTCTGGGCTCGGGAGTACTCGCGGTAACTACGAATTTGAGTCCTTTGGCCAAAAAAAAAAAAAAAAAAAAAAAAATTCGAATTTGAGTTACCTGTGGAGTTAACTTTTGATGAGGACGCGGATAAGAGACGCTTTTGAATCTAACCCAATAACCCAAGTCACTAAGCAAGCAAGCAATAAGGAAGAGAGAGCTGTGACGGAAACCTGGTCTTCCTACAGTCTTTGGCTCTGCATATAAAAACCTTGTCCTTTTCTCCTGCGCTAAGAAAATCATCGCAAATCTAGAGAGATTCAGAGGGGTCGAACCGGAGCAAGAGGTTGAAGATGAGGATCACTGTAATGACTGCTGATCAACAAATTGTTACGTTGGATGTCGATCCCCATGAATCTGTAAGAATCTGGAATTATCACACTTTCGCATCTTTTCTTCAATAAGTTTTCTTATGTTACTGCTATCTACAATTTTTGGCGTTCTTTTTGCTAGGTGGAAAACGTCAAAGCATTGCTTGAGGTAGAGGTGAGTTCCCCATTACCCTTCCCTCGTTTTCTGTTTTTTTAATTTTGCTCCCTTCTTTCCTACAATGTGTAATGCTGTTCAATATTGCGGAGAATGGGGAACAATATTTACTAGAAAGTTTAGAATTTTGCATTTTTCATTTGTGGAGAACGTTGGCGCAAAAGCCTGACTAATGTGTCATTGTAATTAACATGTTTGCAATTTCTTTTAGATTTTAATAGTCAAAAGTAATCCGAGTGGTGCATGAGAGACTGATCATCTTTATTTTATGTTTTTCTTGTTTTGTGCATATTGATTTTGTTAATGGATGTCTTATTTTGTTTCCTTGATGTTAACCTTACGCATCTGTGAAGACACAAGTGCCTCTTCAGCAACAGCAACTCCTCTACAACGGAAGGGAGATGAGTAATTCTGAGAAACTGAGTGCTCTCGGTGTTAAAGATGAAGATTTGTTGATGATGGTCTCTGCTGCTCCTTCTGGGTAAGATTTTCTTTTACATTATATCGAACTGTTACGACGGAGCGCTGGGAAACCTCTTTCCTTTGCTTGGAATTCCCTCCTCCTGCCGTTTTGGAAAAATAGAAACAGTTGAATGTCTGAGCTCTGCACACGGTCTGCTTGCTCTAAGCGTGAACCAAGGAACCTTCACATTGAAATGCTGCTCGTTCCCATGCCACTTAATTATGATTTTTGCTTGTGGTTGTTGTTGTAAGTTGGGTTTATCTTGGTGATATACATTGTTAGATCCCTGACCATGCTCATTCAGTGATGAGAAAAAGTTAAACTTTTTATCCCTGCTCTCTCCATTTCAGAAGAGTTTGTTCATTTCTCTGTCAGAAGAGTTTTCTCTCTATGACTTTCTAAAATAACTCTAGTTCAATTACTTGAAATACTGTATAGGGAAACTCAAAAAATATGCATGAAGAGGCTAGTGGAAGTTGCCAAAGGAAAATATACTCCCTACTTTTCTGGATCAGTCACAATTTCATTGATGTAGTTTTAGCTATTGTAATTTGCTTATCATTTATGTTATTTGAATTTGAATGTTTGAATGGTAAAATATGAAAGTAGTAATCTACTATGTTAATGATGTATGATGAAAGCCCTTTTGGGCAAACTTACTGCATTAATATTTGAATACCGATGTTTTTACTGAAATGAAATTTTTTATACCTAATTCTTTCTGTGACTGGTTCATTTTTCCCCAGTGCACCTGCCAATGATTTAGGCTTCAATCCTGATGGATCTGCTGTTAACCCTGCTGCTTTCCAACAGCACATTAGACAGGATTCTAACCTGATAGGTCAGCTCTTTCAGGTAAATGAATGGTACTCAATGCAGCCCTTCTCACATTATATGATTTTCAGACATTTTATGTGCTTTCTTGTTCTCTGTTTCTTTCTTTTATTATTCACTATACAATGACCTTCTTACTTACATGTAGACCGATCCAGAGTTGGCACAAGCCATTCTAGGAAGTGATCTTAACAGAATACAAGAGATTTTACGAATGCGTCATCAACAGAGAGCTGAATTGCAGCGCCAAAAAGAGGAGGAACTTGTAAGCAGGCTCTGCAGTGACCTTTTCTTCCTTCAAACTAGCGAGGCTACTGATTTAAATTTTATTATAAGAAGCTTAAATTCTGATTGGGAACTTTTTATCTTCTTCCATCTGCCTTGATATGTTATTCTGTATAGTGTGTGTATATATTATGCCTAATTTATTTGGAAGAGATGTGATCACATTGATGTTATAGATTCTGTTTGTTGACGTGACTGATATCTTCATTAAAAAAAAAAAAGATTGGCTCTATATCGTTATGAAATTGTTTATCAGACCTGAACATATTGATAGTTACATATGCCAATTTGTTTGACTTTTTTCCCCTTTAGGCTCTTCTTTATGCAGATCCTTTTGATGTTGAAGCACAAAAGAAGATTGAAGCTGCTATTCGTCAGGTGAGTTTATTTATATCTTATTTGCTAAATCTGTTGCAAAACTATAATTTTTATTACTCTTAAAGAGTTTTATAACGGGTCTTCCCTTTAAAACTCATCATACATCCCATCTAGACTGAGAAGACATATTCTATTAGACCTTGGGATTTCTCAGGCTGTGCTTTTAATGAATTATTTGTTGTTATTTATCACTTTATAATTACCTATTTACTCTGTTTCTGTGAAGTATGATTAGTCTTATGTGATTAAGTGGACATATTGAGTGTATATGGCATGCAATGATTCAACAAGTCAAATAACATATTCTATGCTTAATTATATTTTGTAGGGAACTAAAACATCAATATCTGTTTCAAGATTTATCTGTTCCTTAGAAGAAGAATCATTATTAAATTTAGTCTCCATTATCCCACTAATTTTCTAATAGCTTTGTGGATTGTCCTTGATAATTTCTCTGCTTAAGTAAACTATAGTGTTACTTTATTAGATGACTTTCATGTAGATATTAAAAATCTGGAAAGTTTTGGGCTTTTTGGTGCAGACTACAAAAAAATTTATTTATTCTAAAATTTGTCATCAGTTAAACCCATCACATGTAGCCTATTACTTGCTTTGATACTCTATATTCATTGCCCATATTAATTTATGATGGTGCCATGTTAATCTCCTTTTTTTCCCTTTCTAAAGCATAAATTGTGCCCCCCACCATTGAAAAATGTAATGCCTTTTTAGTATTTTAAGGCGTAATTATTTGTCTTTTTTCTAAAAGTGCCCCTAATGAATAAATCACTTTATATTTATTTAGAGTAAAACACCCTATTAAATATGCGTAAATATGAAAAGAGAGTGTTAGTTTGAAGACAAGTAATTACTTTATTAGGGGGTGAGATTCTGTTAAAAATGCCTTATATTTTTAAACGAAAGGAGTATTACTTTACTTTGGATGACATAATTTTGGCATTCTTTACAGAAAGGAATTGATGAAAACTGGGCAGCTGCACTAGAACATAATCCTGAAGCTTTTGCAAGAGTGGTATGTATGAGTTTCTGACTTCTGTATCCATTGCTAATATCTTTGTTTTTCATCACAGATGAAATGATTTTTATGTAATTCTTCAGGTCATGTTGTATGTTGACATGGAGGTTAATGGTGTTCCACTGAAGGTTAGTGGATGGTCACAGTGAGTGTATTCTTTGTCAAATTCAGGATTAAGATCTGCTTTGAAAATAAGAAAACCATATTTTGTAATGGGGGCCTATTAATGCATATCATAGAGTTATTTTGGTAGACATGCTATGTATTATTGTTCTCATTTTCCTCTTCAATGGAAGGGGGATACTGAATGGAATTTGTGTTGAATTAATTTTTGTTTCGTCTTTTTTCAGGCATTTGTTGATAGTGGAGCCCAGTCTACAATTATATCAAAAAGCTGTGCTGAGCGCTGTGGGTATGTGTTATTAACATTTGTTGAACTGGAATTCACTTCCTTGGCATTTATAAATGCTTTAATGTCATTAAATTTTTGTTATGATAACAAATTTGCATGCCTATGAATGTACTCTACACCATAGCTAGCTGTCTCAAACATTTGACGAAATATGATTCATCATTTGTGCTAAGTGGTCTTACAATAACTCGGTTCAGATAGAAGAAAGAAGAAAGAAAACAGGAGGCATATATAAGGAGCATAGTATATATGATCATACATTTTCTATATACGGCATTGGGGCTTGAATTATGATTTTAGGACTGACTTTGACATTTGTTAAGCTGGTGTATCATGAAATGAGAATTGCTGGTCATTGGAGGAAGATATGTCTGTAAATGATTTCAAGGGATTTTTAGAGCTGATGGATTAGGCAATGAGATAACTAAAGATTCCTGTAATGGAAATATGTGCTTTCCATACTTAATAAGCATGATCTTGTTTCACTCATTATGAAAGGATATTGAATGATATAAAAATGTTAGATTTGCTATTGTTTATAAGCTTCCTTGATCTGATTATCTTTCCAGAGGATTTTCTTTAGCTTATAATCTCCCTTGATCGCTTTGAGAATTTGGAAATTAGATATTAAGGCTTCTTTCTTTTATTGTATATCTTGCCTTGATATCCTTACTTGCTCTTAAAGTAAGAATTATTTCTTCTGATGGCGCTCTGATGACAGTATCTTGATTATGCAGAGGGCATTTCTGTCTTGATTTTGCATTCTTTGACCCTTGTCCTTTCCCTGTTCTTGATAATTTATGACCATCTCATCTTCTGTTAAATTCCTCTGTAATGCATCATCACAAAATTTCTTAATGATTATCTTTACTTGTATTTGTAGATACTAGTGTTCAATAGCGTGCTAGATTTTGAAACCAGAGGATTCTTTTTTAAATATTCATGCTATCTTTCAGATTGTTAAGACTTCTAGATCAGCGTTACAAGGGAATTGCTCAGGGAGTTGGCCAATCAGAGATATTAGGCCGAATACATGTAGCTCCAATCAAGGTAATTTTCTAACAATTCTTGTGGTGAGGATTTTTAGGCAGATGAGGTTATGTCTATCTTAGTGTCTGTTGCTATCTGGGAGATTATGGTTGTATGCTGAACGGATTAGCATAGATGTCTAATTTCATGATCAAACATAACTTGTGTTCTGGTTTTCTTTTGACTTTAGGGGACAAAATTAACAGGTTGCTAAAGCTTTTATCTGCTCCTACTGAGTTAAAATATGTGAATATTCTACTGAGAAGGATTTTTCTTGTAGTTTGTTTATTTAATATCAAGGTTTGTAGTGAGTTGTGACCTCCTTCAAGCTCGACCACTCTTTTGTACCATTTCCATTTACAGGTAAAAAAGATTTTATCAAGAGATAAAAGAAAATAGTACACGATCCTGCATCTTTTATGTCTCTAATAGAGTTAATGTTTGTGCATTATAGTTTTGGCAAAATCTATTTTTAACATTTCAATTAAAGAGAAGGGTCTGTCATTTTTACTCAAATGACAGACCATTCTCTTATATTTCTCTCTATTAGATGCATCTCATGTCCAACTTTCTCTTTGTATGTCATTCTTCCTGTAGATTGGGAATATATTCTACCCTTGCTCATTCTTGGTGCTGGATTCTCCTAACATGGAATTCCTTTTTGGGCTTGATATGCTCCGAAAGCACCAGGTAAGATCCTCATTTGTGAAATCAGATATCCTCACTTTTAGTAATTACACACTGATTTGTGGTTTTTATGAATTTTTTCTCGTGTCTGCAGTGTATTATAGATTTAAAAGAAAATGTTTTGCGAGTTGGTGGGGGAGAAGTTTCTGTGCCATTTTTGCAAGGTCGGCCTTGTTAATGTGTGGACAGGAATCATATTCATGACCATTTTTCCTGCTTGTGTTTGCATAGCTCTCTTTCAAACTCAGATTTGGTTAACATTCTTGTGTGCTATGCTCAGAAAAAGACATACCATCTCGGTTTCTGGATGAAGAAAGGCACGCCAAGGAAGCATCCAGCTCAGGTGGTCTGGTAAGTATACTCGTTTTCAGTTGAATTTAATAAAGTGAATGACTTTAATTTTTTATTTTGCATTTTCGTTTTATTTTTGCTTTGCTCAGTGATTTTATATTGACAACTTTTAATTAACCTTCAGGCAACAGGAACAACAGATAGGAGTGGTAGTACACCGAAAGGAGGCCAGTCTTCAGGTTAGTACCAGATTTTGATTTTCTTTATGTTTTGATTTAGACTTCTGCTAATATCTGACTAACAAACATGTTAATACTGATATTCTGGTACATGGAAGTTTTGCAGTTGTATAAATCCACACACACAAGTTATTTCTCCATGTCAAATTTTGCATTTACCATACTGATATTTATAGTTAAATGATCTTTTGGTTTCTAGGAGGAGCTTCTGGTAGCACTTCTCAGGTAAGTTAGCAGCCAAGAACCATTTCAATGTTATACTTGGTTTGGATAGAGAGAAAAATAGAGAGGAAAGAAAACTATTAAGGAAAACTTCCAAATATAAGAATTTTTTTTTAAAAAAAGCTATTTTTGGAAGTTTTCTCTCGTTCTTTGACCTTACCCCTATTTTCCTCACGTTTTTTAACAAGAATTTTCCTCATTTTTCTCTCCATCCAATCCAAGCCTTAAAGCAATTTTAGATGTGATTGGTGTGAAAGCTAGTGGTTCCAGATTCTGTCAATATAGTCAGAGTTTTTTCACTGTGATTGCAGGAGAGTGATTTTGAAGCAAAAATTGCAAAGCTGGTGGAGTTAGGGTTTGGAAGAGAAGCAGTGATACAAGCTCTTAAATTATTCAATGGCAATGAGGAACAGGCTGCTGGGTTTCTGTTTGGGGGTTTTTAGAATCCATTAGTTTACTGCGACTGCAAGTAATATTTTTGCTTCTGTTTCAGCATTCATTACAATTGTTTTATAAAAATGGAATTGCATAGCAGGTTGATGTCTCGTGTTGCTAAGAAACTGTTTGATTCAATTGGATAGACTAATTTATGGTTAAGTTGAAGCATGTGATGTTCACCTGGACAAGAAAACAGGTTTGGAATAAACAATCTGTGTTTCCAAACAAGCGTAGGATGATATGCTGAATTTTAAATTTTAACCCTTTTCTTCTTGTTTACCTTTATTCAGTCACTACCAGGATAATCTTTGTAAATACTTCTAGAGCTTATTACTTGAATTTAAAGCTGGAATAGTATTGCCTCAAAATATTGAATCGTAACTGTTAAGTACAGGTGAAGGGTTATCTTTTTTATAATCATTTTATATTTAGTCAAAATATATAATAAACTTTGACTACTGCAATTTTTTTTGGGTGAGGGTTCGTCTCAAAACTCGCAACAAAGAATCTGATCTTGCCAACAAAAAAATGAACTTATTTAGTATATGATATTTCCTCATCTCCATAGGATTTTTCCCCACTGGAATCAGAGCAAAACTACAACAGCATGTAAGGAAATGCGGGAATCCAAATAGTTCAAATATCAAATCAACTATTGCATTGCACCTCTTGTTCATGGCCAAAGGCCATTCAATGTTAAAAAAGATAACAGGTTCAAGTACAAACTATGAAGAAACAGACCAAGCCGGGTCCAGCTTTAGAGAGAAAAGCTTGCCTGACATAAAATATCTTCAAAACAACGTGCCACAAGCACGGTTTCAACTTTCAATCACCTGGGCAGTCTATTTTGTGGAAAGTTGAGCAATGGTTTCTTCCTTAGTATCTCTGTTTTCCTAAAGAGAACAATAGATATGCGTTAAGTCATAAATCTTGCTCAAGTCAGTCAGGTGAACAATAGAAGGCGGATGAATCGAGATTACCTTTTCAAGTCTTGGTCGGCCTCATGCCTATTCAACAAACTTGAGGAATTATGTCCCCCGGTTTTCACTTCTCGTGCACTAAAACCCAAGTAGTAAAGTTAACCAACAAAAATCAGAAAACAGAGAACATATTTCAAACTTGAAAAGCATCTCATAGACTTACTCATCACTATCCTCATCAACAAATACTGGAATACAAGCACTTGTAGTTGCCGCTCCAGTTCTAATCCCAGGTCGCTGGGGAATCTGAAATATCCAATAACTTTGGGTGCTAGATTATATAAAACAAACCCATGAGACGTGCACTATGATTGCAAGATACCTTGTAGGTCGTCCACTTGCCAGCGATTGCATGATTTTCTTTATTCCTTTCAGCTCGAGCTCCAAGCATGTGCAAAGAGTGCAACTCTCTCTTTGACACGTCCGGCTGTTGAGGACAGTTGTCATCAGTGACAGTTGAATCTTTATAAATAGTAAGTGCAACTGCTCCAGTCCTACAAAAATGGAGAAAAAACAAATGGCATGAAAATATATTACTAACTGGAAATAAAATCATGCCCGGCAATATTTCGCAACCGAGTACCAAACCGCTCGTAAAATAAGCATTGGTCAAGAAACGGAGGAATATGCTTTTTGACTGAGTTTCAAATTTCCCAGACTCAAATCTATTCATTTTTCTCAATGCCCATAGGCTCTGAGCTGCAGACTTATTTTGCCCAACAGAATAGAGCCAAAGAAAGAACACTATCCTTACTTTTCTGGCTTTAAATTCTTCGTAGAGAGCTCGCTCATGGGAAGTCGAATACCTGCAACATTGGCAAAACTTGTAGAATTCATAGATTACGAGACAAAGTAACATCGAGCAAGAGGACTCACGATTTTCTCCGCTGGCAAGGACAGTTCCAAAGCTACGCACAGGTAACTGCTTCTCCGTTGAGTCCTCCTAAGTAGCAGAACAATATAACAGATAATGAATGGAACAATTGTATTAAAAGTTTTCAACCAGAAATTACATACCTCTGTAACTTTTGGTCTTCTCATTGAGCGTGCAAGAAATTTTCTGTAAGCATCCTTCAGTTTAGCCATTGGTTGAGCATTCCTGTAAAATGAATCTAATAAGGCATTTCTATGACATTTCCCCCAAAAGAATTGTTAAACCGGATATCCTTGAGGCATTCTTATGTGGCTTTGTCTTTTCCCCCTAAATCTTTTTACTCATCAGACTTGCTTGCCCATGAAGAAGAAACTACCCCCCAAGGAAGAGAGATGAAATCTTGAATGTGCGCTGTTAATTTTTTTCTTCTCCCTTTTCTTTCTCATCAATTTTTGTCCCTCAATTTGCCACAAAACCATCAATAATCTTGTATCCTTTAAATTAAATTTAGACCATTAATAGTTCATTATGCCTAAATATATATATATATATATATTATTTTTAATATTTTTTTAAAAATGTAAATACATATAATTGTTTTTACTCTGTATCTTACTTTTATTTAAGATGAAAAATTCATATGCACGAAGCGTTGTTTCATTGACAAAGTGATATTACTATCATGAAAGCACCAGAAGATCAGTTTGCTAAAAACATAGTCCAAATGACTTTTACCAGCCCCAAATCTATAACTTACAAATGCTCCGAACTTTATAGCTCCTTATTTGGAAATGCTGTTCGGTTCATTATTTATACTCCTTTTGGAGTTGTTTCAGAGCTTATATGTATAGATCTAAGTCTGACGGATATCAATATCCGTTGGACAAAGAGGGCAGCAAACAAATAACTGAAAATATTTTGACTTGAGTGGGTAAAGCACGGGATCACGTCAGAAACCAACATGTGGATTTTACAACATCAAGAATTTGAAGGATGAAATTGCGGGAAAAAAAATAAAGGACTCAATAATTCGAAAAGATTAAAATGCTAGTTGAGCCTTTTGTTTTTGGATTGTCCTATTCTTTTCAACAGTTGTTGGTCTGCTGCGCGTTTTAAGGAGTCTGACATGGCGCATCAATAGTACAGCTTGTTAAGATTTATATTAACAAATACATACATTTATACATATATATGGATGGTTTTACACATTTGCGCACAAATATGATTTGCCCGTAGTTTGAAAACAGACCACCATTGACCATACGTAACCCGCACGATAACCAATTAACCATTGAAACACAAACTCCAAAAGCAAGGGCAACGAAGACAGAAATATTTGCGGAATGGGGACACGCTTAAATGTTCCAAGTAGGACCCCTCTCCACATTGAAGATATCAGACTTTTGAGTTTCCAAATTTGTATAAATCACAAGGACATAAGCTTGAGCAATTAAAGGGCACGATAACAACCCTCAGAAGTCAGAACAGAGTCAGGGTACCATACCTTGATATGCCAAGATCGAATATCTCGTTTGCAGCTTTGATCTTATTCTTAGATTCCATGTAGAGAGCATATGATATGTATAATAAGGAATGCGTTCGTCCAATTCCGTTTTCATCCAGAAAACTATATACAACATCCGCATCTATGCAATTATCTGCCTGCATATTAAATATTGGTTTAGACGCTAATATCTATGACAATTAAGTTTAAAATGTGAATCAGGATGGGAAGAACCAACATATTCCAGCCACACTTTCAAGTAGCGAAGATCATCCTTATAGCGTTCTGAACGCCAAAAAGTTCGAACGCACTGTTCGTATATCACAACTAGTCCAGAGCAGTCTCCACCGGCGGGAAATGACTCCTGAACCCACTTGATACACCTTCGAAATTAAAGCCAAGATTAGTTGCGGAAAATCAATTAACATGGTCAGCGTTAACAGAATGCAGAGTATAAAGCTGCAGCCAGAAGAGCAATGGACTTCAGCCTTGGCCGGTTTGTCAGTGCTAACAAAGTACACTTATGAATGGCATAACTCTTGCAGAAGAAATTAACTCTTGATTCATTACTACTCGTTCTGATCAGGTTTATGGAGCCCCTGGTGTTTGGAGATTATCCAAAAAGCAAAAGGGATTTGGTCAAGCATAGGCTGCCCTCTTGCACCCAAGAAGAAAAGAACTTGGTTAAAGGGTCCTTTGATTTTATTGGAATCAATTACTATACTTCAAGATATGTAAGTGTCCCACCTTATCCCAAAGCACCACCACACTACATGACTGACAGTTTAACTGAAGAACAAGGTAAATATTTTTTTCATAGGCGTTCTAGGCTTCTAGCCGCGAAATACTTTGCTATATCAAGTGAAATATGGATAAAAATTAAAGCATGTCGCCTAAAAGCATATCCCATATATTTATACGCCTAAAACCATAGCCCATAAATTTACACGCGTATGTTCATGAACAGTTAGGTTTATCCAAATCTTTTGAAACCAAATTTACGATTTATGCATACAATTTGACATTTTCCCTCTCTTTGTTAGTGGAGAGGAATCGAGTTCCTATTGGCCCTCATGTAAGAAGTTACATGCACATATTGCAAGACTAGGAATCAGATTATAAAGAATGTAAACCTCTCTGTAATTAACAAACAGTCTTGTTCCTCTTTACTCTGTAGGCTAAAGGAAGCGGTTCATATATATCTACCCGATGGGGCTAGAGAAGCTATTGAATTTCATGAAGGACGAGTATGGCAGTCATAATATCTACATTTCTGAAAATGGTGTTCTTTCACTCTTCCTGCACGATCTTTTTCTTCATTCTTCTATAAAGCATGATCCATCCCTGATCTTGTTAACGCTTTTCGGGCTTTAGATTCAGGAATCACTGAAGCTAACGCAGAGAATATTAAACTGGAAGAAGCTCTGTGGGATACACACAGAATCATCAAAACCCTTAGGCATCTGCGTAGGATTCACAATGCAATCACCAATCAGGTAAGGATTTGGTCTTCTTCCACTAATCTCTGTTCATGTTTTAGGAAGCAATTGAGTGTGGAAAAAGTGTTGTGATTTTGGGCAGGAACGGAGTGAAGGTGAAGGGGTTCAGGCACTGAACTGTGTTTGATGACTTTGAATAGGGGGAAGGTTATGTTCCAAGATACAGGCTTTACTGCATAGATTTCAAGAACGATCTTAAGCGCATTCCCAAACTCTCGTCTCCTTTGTAATAAAATGAAAGCAGTTGCAGTCGGTCTTTAGAGAAAAGTTTATAACAGAAGCAAAGTAATATGATACTCACTCAAGCCACGGGAGGAGAGGATCGTCTCCTTTGTATTCATCAATGGCTTCAATCATCCTCCTAAAGCATAAATACGATCAAAAGGAAGATGATTTTCTTCCAAAAAGAAGAAAAATTAAATCAAGGATAAACTAGCATTTAAAAGATAAAGCAAGAAGACCTTCGATTATCAAGAAGAGATTTGTTAAGTCGATTGTCATCGTGGGTGTTGAGAGCGGAGTTCAAGAGATTAATATTTCGGCCTCTTTTTAATGGCCTTACGTTTTCTTTGAACATTTCCCACTCGTTGCCAGTCCTTCTCTTCGACATAAGAAACTCGGTCTCTGGATCCAATCTCTCAATCTCTTCATCCGCCATCATCATCGCCGCTGTAGTGACTGAGCTTCTTTCTGTTTAGCTTGTCCTTTTTGAATGTGTCGGGGATACAAGATGAAAAGGGTTGAGACTTGAGAACCGAAATTTTTTTTTTTTAATTTTTTTCTGGTGGTTGAGACTGGGATTCAAATTTGAATTCTAACCAATCAGATGATGGCTCGCTTATGCTGTGGGCCCGGTTTCGGGGCACAGTAATCACCAAAACACACCGTTTAGGTCCTCCTTTCACAATGTCAGAACCCACCCACTTTTTGTTTTGTTTTTTTTTTTTAAATCACTGTCAAGTCCAATCCAACAAATTCAATTACACCAAAGTGCTATCAGATGTTCAGACTAAGGCTACATAAAAGACAGAATTAGACTTTAACCTAATTTAAAATATGATCTCTTTTATAAAAAAATTGAGTTAAGTAATTTATAATTCGATCCGTTCTAGTTATAATTTAAAAATTAATAAAATTAAATTTAGTTTATAAAATTAAAATATTGGTCTTATTAATCCTATACTTATTTAGCATTTTTTTCTTTTCTTTATGAGATCCAATAATACATTTTAATTTAATAAGCTCAATCAAGATAATAAAAATACTTATAATCATAATAAATTTAAAATAATTTCTAACAACTAGAAAAATATTTCAATTACAGTCCAAATGGTACATATTATTAAATTATTAGTTTGAGTGTAAAAATGTGTAAGGAACTAGACTTATTAAATTATTAATAGTCTTAACTTATTATTATAAATAATTAGTAAATTAATTACAATGATATTAAAAAAAATTAATAGAACTAGATTAGACCAAATGATTCAGATGCCAAGTCTTCTTTCCAATCCAACTCAAAAAAATAATCTAGTCCTTTGAGTCTTAAATGACCAATTTTTAACAGGATCAAACCTTCTTAAACATTGTATAGAAATCTGGACCAGCCAGTTCAACTCATGATTCGGTGACCTAATCTCTTTCCTAATTTGAGTTTCCACCTAAATTGGCCAGCCACTAACCTAGTGTGACTCAATTAACCCGGGGTCAACCTGGGATAACCTAGCTAACTCGGTCAGGTTGTTGGGTTAGCGGGGTCACTTTCTTATTTTTTTAAATAGTAAAAACTAAATAAAAAGTAAAAAAATTGGTTTAAAAATTTAAAAAGTGATATAACGGAGGGCAAGGCAATTAAACCGAATTTAATTTTTTGCGGTTCGAACTTCGAATAGAAGGCCTTAATTGTAAGTTTGAACTTAGAAGATTCAATATTCTTCTAAGTTAATTGTGCCTTAATTGTTTTAATCTTTCATTATTTACTGTTGTTCATTTGTTTGATTATTGCCTAGCATTTTATGAATTATGGTTGTCATTATTGATAATTTTAGTGTTAGTAATTATTAGTTTTAAACTTTTTAATGATTGAAGGGTTGTAAATTATAGTTGTAAAAATGAATATTTAGAAAGTTGATTTTATTATTGTTAGATTTTTAGGTAGTTATAATTCTATAATCATTATTGTATTTGTATTTATATTAGAAATTAATCTTGAATTTAGTTGAATGTTTTTATAATTAGTGTCTTTTTATTTAAATTATATTATTTTAATCATGACTGGTTTGCCCTCTAAATTGACATCTGGTTCAACTCCGATTGAACCACTGACCTATAACTCATTGGCTTGATTGATTCAATGACTGGTTTGGTTTTCAATACTTTGTTTTTAGGTCAAATTAGGTCAAACAAAATTAAAGAACTTCTGCACAGCCCTAGCTTAGACAAGTCCCAAATGTTTTATGCAATTACTAAAATATCCGTACATTAATTATTTTTAAAAAAATATAAAATTCAAACAAATACCTCATACTCCTTGTTGCTATGTATAATGTGTTTTTTTAAAATAAAAGTATATTAATTATGTGCTTTACCCAACACTATTATAATATTGATTGACATTATGGTGGGCAAAATTGAAAAAATTATTGTGATTTAGTGTAATTGCATCTTAATAATGAACTTTTGATAACATCTTTGACTAATTAAATAATTCTGTCTTTGTCTTAAAAAAAAGATATATTAATTGTGTAATTTATTCACTACTACCATAATATTAATTGACATTATTAAGGGTAAAAATTAAAAAATTAATGTGATTTTAACTCAATAATACTTTTATTGATATTCAAGATTTAATTAAAAATACTTTATATAAAAATGAAAGACATATATCATTAAGACAATAACTACTAAATTTTACACACGTATATGAATATGTATACCTCTGTGTGTATATCAAAAGGCTTCAATAGTCCAGTGGTTCATAACAAATTATTTTAAGTTCACATTTTAAACTAAGGAATCAAATAAGCATAATTTATATATCATTATGCCTTGCTTTCCTCCGCCCTTATTAGAGGTTCTTAGAGGTAAATAATTTCTGAATTTAGTCCACAATAATAATTTTCCTTGTATATAAATATTAGGCCTTGGATGACGGTTTGCTTATATTTTAATATTAGAATAAAATAATATAATCACCCTTCTTTACTTATATGGTCAAATAATAAGAACATTTAATTTTAATCCAAACTTACCAAAATTCACATTGTTAAAGACATGATTACTTGAAAAAATTAATTTGTAAAAATTAAATGTCAAAAGGGTCTTTCTAAGTAATAAAATTTTTAAAAAAATTAATTATTTAGTTCTTATAATTTTAATTTAGTTATAACTCAATTCTCAAATTTTGACTCATTTTAATTTGATCCTTATAATTTTAATTCAGTTGTAACTTAATTCTTCAATTTTGACTCTTGTAACTCATTCTTTATAGTTTTAAACATTTAAAACTTTGGTCACTATATTTTAAAAATAAAATTATAAAAATTAAAATTATTTTAAAATTCAGGACTAGTATTTTAAATTACTAAGCTCTTTTAATTTTTATAAAGATTAAAATTTTAAAATAATTTTTATCTTTATAATTTTTTTAAAATATAAAGATCAATATTTAAACGGTTAAAATTATAAGAATTGAATCAAAAGAGGTAAAGTTCAGGAAATAAATTCTAACTAAGTTAAAATTATAAAGATTGAGTTACAACGATTCAAAACTAAAAAATTAAATTATAATTAGATCAAAATTATTGTAACTAAAGGAGTAATTTTCCCAAACCTTTTGTTTTTTTTGACAAATTGTATATTAAGCATATTAATGGTATAAGACACGATGCCAATTGCTTCAACGATAACGCCACCTTTTTATGAGCGTGAGGTGCAAGATTCAAATCCTGGTTTGACACCTGGGTGAGTCGTGTTTAAATTGATCATTAAAAAAAAAATGGTGTAAAACACAATGATATATCTTTTGACAGTTGGAAAAGCCAGATGGAGGCTACTATGAAACTCCAACACAACATCCATAATCCACACTAACAAATTTCTAAAATCCAAAAACACAGACGAACAAACAACCTTAAAAGATGAAGCTTAACTTAGATAAAATGAAAATCCCCATGACGATTCCTACTTGTGGTGCACCACTATAGGACTCCTCACCGTGTTCTTCCCATTTGTCCACCACATCTCTGCAAAAGAATAAGTTGCAGGTCTGTGCAGACCAGTTCCTTGTATCAGAACCTGGAAGCTCTTCTTCTCTCCAACTTTGCTGAATATCAAGTGACTTGGCTCAACAAAGACATTAAGTCCCTTAGGAACCTTAACATCCACAAAGTATTTGCTCGGACCCCCAACATTTGTCACTGTCCTTGTAACTTTGACTGTCTTTCTCGCCAGACTAGCCACTGTGATTGAAGGGTAGTTGAAATCTAGTACGTTGATGGACTTTGGACAAGTGAAGGACTTTCCGGTAAATTGCTCAATAAGTGTTTTGTTGTAGCCATAACCACATAAGAAGGTCAAGTAATCATCAACTGTCAGATCGTAAACAAGCCCTGGGTCCATTGCTGCGTCAGGTTGAACATGCCCTGCTCCATAAGCAAACGGTGTTGCATCTTTCATAGATGAGTCCCGAATAGACTTCTTGGTGTCATCCATAGTGCTTGCTGGGGAAAAGAAAAGAATGAGTTCCAGAGAAGTTAAGCACGTTATAGGCCAATAATTCCTGTAATAGAATAAGTTCTTAGCAGACCAACACAAGTTGGAGATACTACAATTTTCACATTTTTATACATTGGCATTGTAAGTTATACATACTCTTTCAGTGAAGCTCATGTCTACCATACATATCAGACTCGTTAAAAAGATTTACTTTTAAAATGTGTTGAAAGTGATATGAATAATACCAGTGGTCATGATTGCAGATTTGATGGCTGCAGGACTCCAATCAGGATGAAAGGTTTTGAGAAGGCCTACAATGCCAGAAATATGAGGGCAAGACATAGAAGTTCCTGACATTGTATTGAAAGGAACTCTTCGTTTATCAAAATCTTGTTCGGTTGGGCCTATGGCTCCTGTGTAAGCAGCAATTATGTTCACTCCAGGTGCAGTAACGTCAGGCTGAAACAGAAAGCAAGACAGGAAGAAAAATAAAACAAAAGGTTGTAGCAAAATCATATCCCCATAAGGTGAGGTTGATGAATCAACAAAGAGTCACAAACCTTGAGGATTGAATGCAGAATTGTGTTGGGTCCTCTTGAAGAGAATGCGGCCATGACAGGAGCTGGCTTTGCTGGTATTATTGTTTTAGCATTAGTCATGTAAGCCCCAGGTTTCCTACAAGATATATGCACGGCTACTAACTAATTTAGGGACTCAACAAAATCAAATGTAGCTTGCAGCACAAGAAAGATCATTACATGGTTTTGTTGATGTACTTATAAAGATATTGACCATCTTCATAATTGATATTTGAGGCAGGCAAAACATGAGGGTCTGCTATTGTATTATCCATGCTCAGGGCATCATTAGCCAATATCATCCCTACAGCTCCTACACGAGCAGCTTCCACGCCTTTCGCTGTCCTTGCATTCTCGCCTCTGAGGCAGACCAATATCTTCCCCTTCACTTTTTTATAATCAAGGGTTCCATTATAACAGAGCTCACTGCAAGAATCCAAGATTTTGCATCACATACTACCAAACAAAAGATTCAGAATTGAAGCCAGTTTGGACTTGTACTCACGCAAGAACAGATGGCACACCAGCGACTCTGGCATCCTTGGAACTAATCAAGGGGTAGAACTTTGGAGATGGCAAGCTCATAGGGGAAAGAGTGGCTCCCTGAAAGTCACAAGCAAATCACAATCTCATTCATCAACCATTATACCAACTTGAAAGCAAAAAAAGAAAGAGACATGTTGCAGTACCGTTAGATGCTTCCTGTCACCAAGAGCTATATAGTTAATGAAGTTCCTATCTAAAGTGCTTGCACCAACAGTGAAGATCCATGGAGCCACGTTAGATACAGATCCAGGTCTTGGTCCTGAATTGCCTGCAGAGCTAACTACCACTATTCCCTTTGAAATAGCATGGAAAGACCCTATCGCTATAGCATCACTGAACAAGTCTCCAGGATCGCCACCAATGGAGGCAGAAATCACATCGACACCATCACTTATGGCAGCATCAAACCCTGCCAATATATCTGCATCAAAGCAGCCTCCAGACTCTTGACCCTGAGTAGGAGGCCAGCAAACCTTGTAGGCAGCAACTCTTGCCATTGGAGATCCACCTTTGGCAGTGCCAGTTCCACTACCGAAGACACTAGCTCCTTGAACAAAGTTTCCACCAGCAGTTGATAAAGTGTGAGAGCCATGGCCTTCAATGTCACGTGTGGTGTACATTGATGCATTCTGTTTGCCTGCAATTGCCTCAAGGCCTTTGATGAAGAATCTTGCTCCTATCAGCTTTCTGCACATGGAAGAACAGTAAGAGATAGAAAAGAAGATTTTTTTTTTTTTAAATGATAGTTCATGGTTTTCCTTAACTGAAAATGGAAATCAGTGAACTTGAGCGTTTAGAGTGTTGGAAAAGAAAATGTCATCAAGAGGATTGACCTGTTACAGAGAGATTTGTTTGAACGAACATCTCCAAATTGGCATTGGCCATGCCATTTTGATGGTATAGGCCCTATTCCTTCATCATTGAAGCTCTTGGATTCTGGCCAAACACCTGTTTAAGAAGATGGTGCGTAATGAAATTGTCAATTAGTAATGGTAAATGACAACGGGAAAAACTCCATAATACGAGAAGTGATAGTATTTAAAGGCACCATATGTCACAATGGAAGTAAAAGATGTGAAATAAAAACAAAGCAGAGGTAATCATAACAAAAATATTGTCCCTATAAATCACAGTCCCTCATTCTCTATATATAAAGTGTTTTTTAAAAGTTTGTTTTGTTCCTAAATATAAGAGATGCCATGATAATTTTAAATAATTGAACAATTTTGCTCTTATTGTCTTGGAAAAGGGAAGGGATATTAATTATAAGTTTTATTCATCTTCATGATATTAATTGTGATATTATTAGAAGCAAAACTGAAAAATTATTGTATTTTTAGATGTTTTCAACTAAACAATAAATTTTTATTGGTATGAGAGATTTGATTAAAGGAGGGAGTGCATTTTAAAAACTTTGTATTTTTCATTTGTTACTGTTTAAAGTTTAATTGGAAATAATCTTGCTGCAGTGATAAATAATATTAGAAGATCATAGCATCAATGGCTCCGAGGAATTCCTTTTTATTAGAAAACCAGCAGTAAAATTCTAAGCAAGTATAAAAATAAACAAGTAAAAAACTGCGAAAAGCCAAAGAAAAGTTCCCAGTAAAGCCATAAATCATTCAGATTCTTCAATGAAAGACATAGCAGAAAAAGATTAAATTATGAATATAAGGTTCGTAAAAAACCTGTGTCAAGGTTAGCAATGATTGTGTCTTCACCATATCTTGCCTTTGCCCAAGCAGAATTATTCTTCACTGCCACTTCAGAAGAATCTAGCCCAAGAAATTCCCATGATCTTGTTGTGTGCAATTCCCGCTTTCTGTTCAAGAACACAGAGACCACATTTGGATTCTCTGCACCAACAAAAACACCATACAAAGAAGAAATCAGTAGCTTTTAACGTTAAATTGTGATAAAAACAGAGAATGTTGCCAAGAAATGATCCTTCCTACTTCCAAGCTGGTCTGCTTCTTCCTCTTCAAGTTGAGCAGCAAAGCCATTGATGTTTCTATTATAAGAATAAATTATTGATTCTTGTGCCCTGACATGGCTGCAAAAAATCATGGCTTTAGCATGTCAGTTTCTTTCTCAGAGAATTTAGCATCTGGGTTCAGAGAAATTTCCAAATTCTATTTACCTTCCCAAGATTGATCCCAACAACTTGTAATGAGAAGTTGTGGCTGATTCAAGATCAGCAGAAGTAGGGCTTGGGCCATGAGAATGTGACCCTAGGTACACAATGTAGGACTGGAACAGAGATTACAAATATATAATTATTTTAAAGAAATAAAACACCAAAACATTCTCTTAACTGTCAACTTCAAAAACTCCATTAAAGAGATAGAAGAAAAACCTTTAAAAAATGGAAGAAAAGAAAAGTGCTTACGTTCTTAATGGCATGGATAGGTTGCAGGCAAAAAGAGGATAGAAGAGAGACTGATAGAAGAAACAGAACAATAGAGGATTTCACCATTTCTTCTTCTCCTAATATGAGATTATTTTTCAAAATTGCAAGACAAGGAGGCACTGTTTTCCTCTGTTGTTTTTATAAACTTCACTGCACTGAGAGTAATAAAGAAGGACAATATTAACGGAATTTCAGAATCATTCATTCCTCCAATCATTCATTCATTCATGAAGAACATATTCAGTGGAGTTAATTTAGCATAATCAATTAATGAGTAATCACATATTAACCTTTCAAAGTCCCTCGAGATCTTCGCATTAATGGCTAAAACTTACAAAAGTAATATTAACATTTAACACAAACACGTAGAATCCAGTCTTGATTCTGCCGATACTTTTAACTTCATATATGATGCGTTGAATCCCAGAAAGCAGTAAAGAATGAATCTTGATTCTTTCTTTCTTGCCAAAGATTGAGTTTTGGTACTTAGTTTGTGATTTTTTTTTTAAATATATCCATTCAATTTCAGTTATTAATTTGAATTTTCCGGTTAGGAATAGCAGATTCATAGGGATTTGTTTTGAACTAGATTTATGGCGTTTCTTTTGTTATTAGTATTTTATATTTTTTTAGGGAGAATGATAGAGAAATCTTAAAATGACTAGTTAATTTAAGTTAGGTCCCAAATTTTAAATTTTAAAAGTTTATAATTCAATCTTTCAATTTTGCAACTGTGTTGTGATAAATTTGTAATTTGTATTTTAAAGTTTAACAGAAAAAATAATTTTTTTTATTTTTTAACAATGTTAAAATTTAAAAAGAAATTACAAATTCATTATAATGCAATTATAAAATTGACAAATTAAATTATAAATTTTTAAAGTTTGACATTTAAAACCTAAACTTGAATTAATTGGTTTTTTTGGAACCTTTTTGTTGTTCTCCTTATTTTTTAATTATATTTAATTTAGTCAGTTTTATTTGCATTCAAGATATTTCCTTCTATAAATTTCAAATTTCATAAATATTTTACGCGTATAACTTATCATTTATATGACAATTAATGTTAAATGGATGATTCTGACAAATTATGGTTAAGATTTTTAAATAAAATTATTTGTTTTCGTATTGGTCTGATTTATAGTTACTTGGGGAACGATTATAAAGGAGAACATTGTGATGTTTGAATGAACAAGTTTATATTCATGGTCAGAAAAAAAGAGCAAGTTTATATAACAACATTCAGATATATTTTTGATAGATGCACTGATGTGCATACAGAGTCTGTTTGAAAAGATTGTGACTATTCAAAAAATTGTTATGTTGCAAGCTAAATGTTTTGTTTAGATAAAATAAACAAAAACAGACTATCATTTTTTAGTTCTTATAATATTTTAAAAATGTATATACATCTTTTTTTAAAAAAAAGTCTTAAAATTTTTTTACGAAATGTTATGTAAAAACTAAAGAGTTATAATTATTAAGGTCATGTTTGTTAAAAAAAATGCATTATTTTTTTATTTGCAAGCTTTTATTGTTATTTTTTTTAAAGCTTCAAAGTTGAGAAATTACTCAATTAGTATCTTGTCATGTTCTAGTATACTTGGTTGCCCAAACGAGGGATTCGGATCTTCATTACATAAAAACGAAAGATTTCATAGAAGAAATTGGGAATCTGGACCAAAATAAAGATTTCATTTAAATGCAATTTTTCAAAAGAGAAAAGTGTGTCGTAACTAAAGATTGCATTTAGGAGTAAAATTTGAATATTATGTGTTAATATGAAAATTGAATTGGTCAAGACAAAAATTTTAATTTTCTTATGCATAGATAATTATGAATTTTATTTAAAAAAGGAAAATGAGAGCAAAATTAGAATTTCACTTGAAAATAAAATTTGGATGATATTACATATTATAAGGATATATATTTAAATTCTGTTATCAATAGGTGAGAAATTTATCATTTTAAATTTTAACTATATTGTAAAAAGAGAAATATACATGAGTAAACTGTACAACACCTCTCTCTCTCTCTCTCTCTCATCCTTTTAGTTTGTAAGTGCACCTTCAAACAACAAACAAACAACAACAACAAGCCTTTATCCCACTAGGTGGGGTCGGCTACATGGATTGCAAGACGCCATTGTGCTCTATCATTTATTAAGCTTTTAGAAATATTATTAATTAAGAGATCACGTTCAACAACTTCCAAGAGTGTTCTCTTAGGCCTTTCTCTACCTCTCTTAATCGGACTCAAAGTTATATGTTCCACTCTTCTCACTAGTGCCTCCCTTGGTCTTCTTTGTACATGCCCAAACCATCTCAACCGATTTTCTACCATTTTTTCCTCAATAGGTGCCACCCTCACTTTTTCACGTATGTGCTCATTTCAAATTTTATCTTTACGTGTATGTCCGTACATCCATCGTAACATTCTCATCTCTGCTACTCCAACTTTATGCTCTTGCTGTCCCGTTAGAGCCCAGCATTCACTACTATATAACATTGCCGGTCTGATAGCAGTACGATAAAACTTTCCTTTAAGTTTATTAGGCACCTTACGGTCACAAATAACTCCTTTAGCTTTTCTCCAATTAAACCACCCAACTTGAATTCTATGTGAAATATCTCCACTGATTTCGCCATCATTTTGAATAATGGCTCCCAAATATCTAAACTTTTCCACTTGAGGTATAATTTGATCTCCCAATTTCACTTCCAAATTATTTTCGAATAGTCCTTTACCAAATTTACAATATAAATATTCCGTCTTACTTCTACTCAGACGAAAACCTTTCGACTCTAATGTCCTCCTCCATAACTCAAGTTTGCAATTAACCTCTTCTCTTGTCTCTGCTATAAGAACTATATCATCCGCGAAGAGCATACATTTCGGGATTTCCTCTTGAATATGTTCCGTCAAAACATTTAAAATCAAGTTGAACAAATAAGGACTCAGAGATGATCCCTGATGTAGTCCAATCTTTATAGGAAAATCCTTTGTTTGACCACTAGGCGTTCTTATACTAGTTTTTACCCCCTCATACATATCTTGTATGGCTTTAATATAAGCAATCCGTACTCCTTTTTTTTCCAACGCTTTCCAAAGCACTTCTTTTGGTATACGGTCATAAGCTTTTTTCAAATCAATAAAAACCATGTGTAGATCTTTATCTTTACAACAATACTTTTCCATTAATCCCCTTAGTAGATAAATTGCCTCTGTAGTTGATCTACCTGGCATAAAACCAAATTGATTCTTAGAAATACTTGTCTCCAATCTCAACCTGTGCTCAATTACTTTCTCCCACAATTTCATTGTGTGGCTCATGAGTTTAATCCCTCTATAGTTAGTACAATTCTGAATATCTCCTTTATTTTTATAAATAGGAATTAATGTACTTCTCCTCCACTCATCAGGCATTTTCTTGGACCGTAAAATCACATTAAATAACTTACATTATAACGTCTATTGTCCATGTTCATGATAGATTCAACAAATTTTTACATTGACTGTTGATGGCCTAACACAACCCTCCTCCTTTACCCGGACTTGGGACCGGCTATAAACATAGGCGGAGTTGTAAGTGCACCTTCAAACTTGAATTGTAAAACATATTTTGAGGTATTAATTGATAAAAAGAGTGTTTTTAATCCGAAATTTAGAGAAAATAAATGCTGAGTGAAAAATTTTAAGAATACTTTTATAAATCCTATCCCAAAAAATAATATCAGAATTAGAAGATTACAGTGCTAATATGCTAACTGCTTAACTCATATTAATAACATATTGAAAGACAAACTTTCAAATTCAGAAATACTCTAGCATCAGCGACCAAATTCAAGTGACAATTTTATTTTATTTTTTTGTTCATTTTAATTTATGCATCAAACCACTCCGAAATCAATAAATCAGCATTTCTAGTTTCTAATAAAAAAAAATCATGATTTTTCTGGCCAACAAGCACAATAATCCTCCAAACTACTCCTAAATATGCTTCACAACAATAGGACTCTTAACTTTGTGCTTTCCATCTGACCACCACATCTCACCAAATACATAATCAAAAACTTCATCTTCTCCAATCCACCTCAAGATAACCTTGAATGTTTTCTTCTCAGCAACTTTCTCAAATGTCAGAAGACTTGGCTCAACCAGCACTGAAACTCCACGAGGAGGTTTCACATTCACACTATAGGTACCTGGATCTCCAACATTTGTGAGTGTGCGAGTAAAACTTACAGAGTGGTTCCCAAGATTTGGGACAGAGATTGAAGGGTAGTTAAAATCTGAAATACTGAAATATTCTGGGCAAGTAAAAGGGCTCTTGGAAAACAACATAATTTGGGTTTGGTTGTAACCATGAGCGCATAAGAAATTCAAATAATCATCAGTATTCAGATCATAAACAAGTCCCGGGTCCATTGCAAGGTCTGGTTGAATGTGTCCTGCACCGTATGCAAATGGGTTTGCTTCTTGCTCGGACTGTTCCAAAATGGGTTTGTTGTTGTTATCGATTGTCATTGCTGAAAATGTGGAGATCCGAAGAGTTAGGAAAACTAAATAAACAAGTGGCATAAAGTATAACAACAAAACCGTAATATGCTAAAATTTGTGCAGAAAGATTCTAAGGATGCTACAGACTAAACTAATTATCCAAAAATAACTAGGCTTTCAGCATGTTAGAAGTAGATCCTGCTATACATTGTTCAATGGGTGTATATTGGAAATTTTGAATTTAAAAAGACTTGGAAATTGCGTATGCAATACCAGTTGTCATGATTGCTGATCTGATAGCTGCAGGACTCCAATAAGGATAGGCTGTTTTGAGAAGGCCAACAATGCCTGAGACATGAGGGCATGATATAGAAGTTCCTGATCCTATATTAAATGGAAACTGACGTTTATCGGAATCAACACCAGTTGCAGTTAGGCCGTCTGGTATGCATAAAGAATATCCACACCCGGCGCAGTGACATCAGGCTGAAGTAGGTAACAAGAACTGTTAACTGCAAAGACATCTCAAAATTCAAAATGTATCTGCATGTAATAAGCTGGAAAAATGATGATAAAACAAAAGGTAAGACCTTGAGAATTGCTGGCTGGATGATACTAGGTCCCCTAGATGAGAGTAAAGCCATTACAGGAGCTGGTTTTATTCCTACTCGTGTTTTTGCTCTTGTGATATAAGCCCTAGGGGCCCTGCAATACATAGATAGGTTCATAGCATGAGTTGCTAGAACTAGTTTTTAACTCAAACAACGAAAATGATCTAGAGTTCCAGAGAAACATAATTACTTGGCGAGTTTTGTGTAGGAATAAACATGTTCACCATCTGTGAAATTGATGTGTGAAGCAGGCAGTAAATGAACAGCAGCGATAATATCATTCCCAAGTTTCTCATCATTTGCCAAAATCAGTCCTACAGCACCTGCAAGTACCGCCCCCTGCTCTGCTAAAACTACTCCTGTTAGATTGGTCACAAGGCAGACGAGAATTTTACCCTTAGCCTTCTTAGGATCAAGGCTTCCAGCATTGCACACTTGACTGCCACAAATCACGAGACACACATTAATGACATACTTTGAAGGCAAACATAACAAGCAAGAGAAAATTATGTAATTCTTATTAAAGCGATTTCACTCACGCGTCCTCAACTGTGGCATTAACAGCTCTAGCATCAACAGAATTGATCAGGCGGTAGAACTTTTCAGATGGTAAGCCTGTAGAAAGACTAGCTCCCTGGAAGTTTAGATTCGTATAAAACAATGAGCACATAACCAACAACCGGTAACTTATGAAGCACAGATAATCTAGGGCGAGATTGGATGGTGAATTTAGAAATTCATGGAAATCAACTTCTTCAAAAGATTCCATGATTAAATAAACTCAATTCTTTTATCAATAACCAGAAATCATTTTCCCCTTAAAAGTATTTCATCCAAACACAAACTAAGCCACAATGAACGAAAAAGATGGTTTTAACCCCACCACCCCCCCCAAAAAAAAAAACAGAAAAAAAAGAAAAAGAAAGAAGGGACCTGTATCCTTTGCAATGAAAACTTGACAAGTGGGTTCCACATGTGTGTATATTTGTACTCCTCTCACTTTCTTGTTAAATGTGTAATTGTGCAGTTTAGATATAGAATTGAATTTCAAAACAATTGACATGAATATATGATACCATCATATGCTTCTGGTCACCAAGAACAACATAATTGGCGAAGTCTCTGTCTATTGAGCTAGCAGCCACAGTAAACATCCATGGAGCCACATTAGTTACGGTTCCAAAACCTGGCCCTTCGTTCCCTGCTCCAGCAACCACCATGACGCCATTGGCGATGGCATGAAAGGCTCCAATGGAAAACCCATCCTGGAAAAACTCAGGGGGAACAGGCTTGCCCAACGAGAAGGAGATCACATCAACACCGTCGCTAATCGCAGCGTCGAAGGCGTCCATGACGTCAGCATCGGTGCATTGGATCCCGGTGGCAGATAGCCAGCAGGCCTTGTAGGCGGCGACGCGGACTCGGGGGGACCCACCCTTGGCGGTGCCATTGCCGAAGCCAAGAACGCTTGCGCCGTGAACGAAGTTGCCTCCGGCAACGGCGAGAGTAGGGGTGCCATGGCCCAACTCGTCGCGTGCTGTGTAGAGCGATTCGTTGAGTTTGCCGAACTGTGACTCGTAACCGTTGCTGAAGTATCTGGCACCTATCAACTTCCTGCACAACAAACATGAATGACAAAAAGAAAAACAATAAAAAATAAATACATTAATCTTTTTTTAAAATATATATTTTTCAAAATAAAAAATAAAAATGTTGAAATGATTTATTTTTAAATTACAAAAGCATATTATTCAGTTCTTGTTTTTTATTAGTTACTTGATACCTGATGACAATAGAAAATATGAAATTATTGTAAAAATTAAAGCATAAATCCATAATTTTTTGAATTACTTAGAGATCTTATTGAAAATAATAATATTTGAAACCAGTTAAGCATTAAATATGGCCCAAACAATTGACATATTTTCAAGCAAGAATTTAAATCTTGATTATCACATTGTGAACGATTAATCATTTACATCATGTTTAATTGACTTTGATCAATGATTAATTATTTTTTTAGTACAAATATAAAACATAGATAATAATTAATAATGAAGGGGAAGTAAGTGGACAAACCTATTGCAACGAAAATTATCAAGTTGACAAACCCCCCGCCACAGGCCCTATTCCTTGATCATTGAAACTCTCTGATTCTGGCCACACACCTATTCATTTTAACATTATTTATTTCTATTTTGCGCTCATGTATTAGATGATCATTAAGATTGATTGAAAGGTTAACTTGAGGGAACAAGAATCTCACCAGTATCAATGTTAGCAATGATGGCATCTTCACCATATCTAGCCTTCTCCCAAATTGAGTCTTTTGAAACTTGTCCATTACTTGTCTCTAGCCCCAGAAACTCCCAGGACCGTGTGGTTTGCAGTTTGTGCCCTTTGTTCGCAAACACTGACACAACCTTTGGATTTTCTACCAAATCATCACAACAATTCGTACACTTACTTACAGGGATTTCATTTTCAATCTTCACTCATTAAAAACAGAGCTAAGCCGAGAAGTTTTGGAATATTGATTCTCTTACTTGCAATATTCGCTGCTTCTTCCTCCTCCAGCACCGCAGCGAAGCCATTGATATGTTTCTTGTATGAATAAAATATTGCTTCCTTGGCCTTCCCATGGCTGACAATGAACAAGCATTACACGTTCAATTTATTAGCTTTTCATTTACCTTCTATTCTACAGGAAGAATTCTCTTTAGTTCATGAAAAACTTTTAAATTCACAATTGAGTTCTTGTGTGTATCAAGTTTGGTTAAGAGTTCCTCAGAGTTCATTAGATTAAATAGATTCTGTACCTTCCCAAGTGAGAGGCTAGTAAGCTGTAATGAGAGTTTGTGGCAGAATCTTGATCACTGACAGAAGGGTTGGGGCCATGAGAATGTGATCCTAAGTACACAATGTAAGACTGCCATAGAGAACATGATTCAAACAGTTGGCATGCATTCTTGGAATCCAATAATATGCACCGAAATTAAAACAAAAAAAAAAATTCAATCTATTTGTATTCAGAAGAACTATAACTAAAATATCAGTCAAATCTAATAATTCAGATGAGCAAGAAGGAAAAACGGCTTGCCTTCTTAGTAGCATGGACTGGTTGGTATTGCAGGAGGATTGAGGAAACAAAGATTGATGATAGAAGAAAGTGGAAAACGGACAAACTCATCATATCTCTTCAATTAGTTTTGTTTTCCTTTGTGATTGAAGAAATTGGTGTGTAGAATGGCCTTTTGATCTTTTTCCCCAGTTTATATAAGTTGAAATCCATTGATGGCTTTTACTTTTCAATTGTTTGATGGTAGTGGGATTGGGATTAGCTCGTTCCACAAGGAACTTCATTTTTTTTCCTTGGAAAAAAGAAATAAGGTTTCAACAAGAACCAAGCCATTGAATAAAACGAGAAAATAAGAAAGAAAGGTACGTTATGCTGTGAAATTGCATGGCCAAATGATCATATGGCAATTTGTGATGATGAATACGGTATTCATCTTCTGTTTATTTGAAGATAAGAGACATGGGTTTTTTTTTTTTTTGTGTCTTTTATATCCTAAATCTTTTGACTGAGGTTAATCCATTCAGCCACTTGTGAGTAATTCTTTTTTTTTTTTGGCCAATTAAAAAAAAAGACATACTTTCCGCTGAAAAGATATGAGATCTATCGTTGTCGTCATCATCGTCGTCGTTAAAAATATATTGCATGGGGACTTTTAGACGCACACAAGGACAAAACCTTATGGGAGAAGAGTCTTGGCACCGTAAAGATCTACCGCCGGCTTACCCAACCAAAAAAAAAAAAAAAAAAATCTGAATTCTGTTCCGCAGTAAGAAGAAAATTCTGACTTTTTCTTTAGAAAATTATTGGTAAAGTCTACAATAGTACTTTTAAATAGGTGTAGAAAATCTTTCCCAAAATAATAACATGTAGTAGCCACTTTTTCCATGTCATCCTATATGTGGTGAGCTTGTGTAATTATCGTCATTAATATTATGCATGTTGAAGTGAATCAAATGATAAAAACTCCAAACATATTGCGCAAATGCATATAACTGGAAGCATATTAACAAAAAATTATAATTTTTTAAATCAAAGTATCTAAGACTTTTTTATAAGTGACAATAAAAGTTCTATATGTAAAATGACATTCTCAATTAAAGAACCAATATTTTTAAATTCTCTCGACTTCGAACACAAAAAATAGCAATATATAATTGGTCACAAGTAAAAATAGGATATGGCAAGTACAAATTAACATGACTTGGGCTCTCACCTTGGCTCTTATTAGTGGTTATTACAAATGTAAACATAATAGGAAATTGCCTCCTCCTCATAATAAGTAGCAACTAGAATCAAATGAATATATATTAATAAGTAGTATACATACTTTTGTTTCTCCATTTGATTCATGCATTTTTCATGTCTCAATAACATGTTATCCAGTTCGTATAACTGTGAGACGTATACCATTACATAATCTTATATACTTGTCAATGTTTTATATTAAAATAATTTAAGCACCTACTTTAAGTCTTATTTCATGATTCAGGAGATCAAATATTGTAATTGAATTTAAAAAATTTATAAAATGTATGTCATCAAGTGAATTCATGTCCCAATAAAATTTCACAGCATCATTATCAAAGCTCAAGTGTACAAGATGACAAATGCTACTTTAACTAATTGACATAACAAGACAAATAATAAAAGATTCAATAGAATTTAAACAATTCCTGTGTCTCTGCATATTAAATTTGATTTTGTGAATATGAAAAAAATTAATATTTCTATCCAAAATTTTTTAAAAACGAATAAATGATACCCAGTTAATAATTATTTAATTAATAAAGATTAAGAGGTAAGCATCTTGCTGGCTTGCTTTTTTGGAAGGAAGGGTTTGATATTCTACGCACGAACTGTATCAATCATAATCATCTATCCAAAGAAGGCAAATTGGTCGTTCTTTGGTGTTCCAATATGTTGACATTTGAACCCCGCCATCGAAATTGAAAAGCTGACTACTTGACTTGTAAAATTTTGAATTATTATTCAATATTAGGAATTATCTAAAGAAAAAGTGCGCAATTCATCAAGTTCTTCTAGTGATAGAGAAGTGAATTCATCACTGGTCAGTGGTCACATAATTCGGCAAAATCTATTACACTGAATCATTATGAAGATTTTTTTTTTTTTTACATAACAAATACACAATGCTATTAATTAAGGTTAAAAATGTAATTTTCTTTTTATCCCCCACGAAGTGTTGAATATTCTAATTGATAAATGGGTACCCCCCCCCCCACCCCCCAATTTTCTTGATGACCAAAAGTCCCTTTCTCTAGATTACCACTAAACTCAGACATTACCTGATAATGTGGCACTGACAGTAAGATCCAACCCTTGTTAACTCTCCGATGTAGCTCATCTTCATCTTCAAAAGATGACTCACTTTCATCTTCATTGTTGTTTTCTTCATTGTCCATGGTGGCAAGCGCTTGTGAAGGTTCTTGTGGTTTTTGTCTATATACTCTTCCATATGCTGCAACAAACAATTGGCAATTAAGCTTCCCATTTTACTCTCAATTATGTATCAGATCTTATTAACTCAACAATATATACCATCAAGAGCTTCTTGGTTTTTTACTGAGTAGAACTCCACACACCCTCTTTCTTTCAAATAGCTTAGCTTTGGACCCATCATTAGGTACTGCATCCTACTCATTCACCGCACAAACACGTTAGCTAGTGTTGGATTATACTATATAGCTCTTGTGAAATTTAAAGAGAGGTTGCAGTATATGATTATTTTCGCGTTACTATGAACTTACCTTATGGTGACGATGGCCATACTCATCTTAGGTAAGTTCGCCCTCCTCCTCTCAAAGTTTACTTCTCAAGTTTCCTGATAGGGTAAAGAGTGAGACCCTTTTTTAACCTAATTTACTCAGGACAGGATACATTGATAGTACATCCATCCAAAAGCCTTTCTAATGATCGAGTTCTCAAGGATTTAGTGTAACATGCATCCTTGAGGTTTGATCTCATAACCTCTCCTATAAAAGGTCCCACTTTTTGCCCCTAAGGAAATATGGGGGTAAACTTTAAGCAAAGGGAGGGCAACATTAAAAAGGTGCCTTTTAATGAGGTAGCTATGACTCCATGATAAACACCCATAAATCCCTTAGACAAAGCCAACACGTGTCTTCCACTCTCCTACCTAAAACCTCCGGCCTCATGTCCGCATCTTTGATGAACTCGTGAAACAAGCCCCAGCATATTGGACTCTATTCCCAGGCACCCTAGCAACGCATCAGGTTTACCTTCCCATTTATCCAAAGCTTGCCTTCTCATCTCTCTCCCTATCACCAATTGAAAGTGTCAGACCATGGTAGCAGGGCCCTACCTCCATCCCTATCAGGTGGCAACTTTCCTTTAGGTTACCCACCCAATCCCTAATAGATTCCAATGCTGCATCTTTAAACTGCTTGTTCATCCTTTCAACTTATTCTTATAGTACACCCATCAAACAGTCTTCTCATGAAACCATGCACGCTGAACTTGAGCAAGTTAACTTTGATTTCATCTTGGCAATCGCTTTACAAGAGCAAGAGGGAACTTTCACAACGCTTATCACCATAGACAGTGGAGAAAGCAGCGATGAAGATGAAAGTGAGTCATCTTTTGAAGATAAAGGTTCCATATTGGAGGGTCAAATCCCACCTGTATTGCCACATCATCAAATAACGTGGCTAATTCACGGAGGGGAGAGGGGTACCTTATTTTTTGTACTTTTCATTTACCTTTTTTTTTTCCTTATCATGGTTAGATCATAACTTTTCAACAGTTTATATTTAAATTTTGATAAAATTATTATTATAGATTTACAAAAAATATATAAATAAAATATTATAGTTTTAAATTGCTTGGATCAAATTTTAATAATTCCAATTTCTTATATATCTTATTTAAAATTAAAATAATAATTTTATTAAATCTTAAATCTAAACATTAAAACTTTGATCTAACAGTAATGAGAAGAGAAGAAGAAAACAGAGAGTAAGGGAAAAGGAGACACCCCCTCTCCCCTTATGGAAGAAAAATTTTGTTCCTTAAACAAATAGTTTAAAAGAAAAATGCTCAGTACTTCTAAAAAAATATACTTTAATGTATTAATTGATTTGGATTTAACTTGGGTTAGGCTTCAATTTGGCTAAAAAAACTAATCACAGTATATATATTTGTGGAGATGAAATTTTATCTAAGATCCTTGATATCACCAAAAAAGTTATGATTGATTTTACTGTTGAACTCCAGACTTTGAAATAAGCTAATTCATCAAATTGATAATTAATACTTTTTTATTAAAAATATAAAATATTTTTTTGAGAGTTTGGATGTTAAAAAAGATAAAGTATTTTTAGTATTATGAGGTGTAATTATTGTACTTTTATCAAAAGTGCCCTAATAAATAAGTAATTTTAATTTATTTTAAAGAAAAATGCTCAATTAAATAGGGGTAAACATGAAAGATGACGTTAGTTGGGAGACAATTAAATACTTTATTAAAGGGTATAACTCAATTAAAAATATCTTGCATTTTTTAATAGAGGGAATAAGTGATTGTGTCACTTGGTATAATAATTAATAATTATCAACGTGTGATTAACAACATTGGTAAATGTGTTGAATAATGAATAAGCTGAATAACTCTAGAGAAAAATATTATTCTGTGATGTATTGTGAGATGCTACAAATGCATAAGTTAGGCTATCCGGGTATAATATTTATGTATAGCCCCAAAAAAAAAAGAAACAAAATAAACAAATAAAGAAACCAGAACAAACCAATAAAAGGCCTAGAATACAATAAGCCCAAAACCTAACAAAAAATAACAAAGAATAAAATTAGCCCATTACTTTATATTTCCTACACTCCCCCTCAAGCTAAAACCGAAAATGTTTAAGGTTTCAAGCTTGTCTAGAAATTTTTAATGAAGAGCTTTTCTCAAAGCCTTAATGAGGATGTCAGCTTCTTGTTCTTCTGAAGAAACATGATGTAATGAAATTAACCCTTCTTGCAATTTGTCTCGTACGAAATGGCAATCAATCTCAATGTGTTTCATATGCTCGTGGAAAAATGGATTAGAAGTTATTTGTATAGCAGCCTCATTATCACACATCACAGTAATTGGAGTAATGTCAGATAGTCCCAGATCTTCAAATAACCCTTTTAACCATACAATTTTAGATACAACACTACCTAGGACCCTATACTTAGCTTCACCTAAAGATTTTGAAATAGTAAATTGCTTTTTAGACTTCCAAGAAATAAGACCCCCCCATTTTTATGAGGTATCTTGTGATTGAACTTCTTGTTTTAGCACATGATGCACAGTCAAAGTCACAAAAACTCATCACCTTAGTATCACCTTTAGATAGAAAGAACACTTCTCTTCTTGTATCTTTCTTAATATATTTAACCATGTTCATTGTAGCTATTAGATAGGACTTCCTTAGATAACTTACAAATTGACTAAGGACCTACATAGCATAAGATATATTAGGCGAGTAACTATCAAGTAAATCAACTTACCTATTAATCTTATTCTTAAGTTCATCCTTTACTCCCTCTCTTTTCTCACTATACAACTTTAAACCAATTCCTCAAATAACAACATTATATTAAATGATTTGTAGGAAAAATAATCTCATAGACCTATAGGGAAAGAAAAACATCAAGTTAGTTGAAGGATTATGAATGTGCTGGTTTGGCTAAATTAGATACCATTAATGGGAAATCTAATAAGAAAATTCTCTATTTAATTAAGGGGAGTTGCAACTAGGGTTGTGATCTGTGTGTTAGAGGGGTGGATGAACAAAGGGTGGGTAATGTCAAGTGTAAAAGCGAAGGACGAATCAAATCTTTTCTCGCCGACAGTCAATCTTTCATTGCCGTTACTTGAAGTCTTCTCACTATCGAAAGCCATTGAGTTCTTGGCAGGATGATAGAGATGAGATGAGGACAACAACAGAGACAAGACTTCCTTGTTAAATAATCAAGAATGGCAAGATTAAGGTTTGGATGAAAAAGAATAAAACGAATTGTTTTGTGATTTTTATGAGGGAGTAACATGTAGGTCTTGCTTTGGTACCATGTTGAATAATGAATAGGCTAAATAACTCTAGAGAAAAATATTATTTTATAACGAATTGTGTGATGCTACAAATGCATAAGTTGGGCTATTCAAATATAACCTTTATATACAGCCTAGAAAACAAGAAACAAACTAAACAAATAAAGAAACCAAAACAAACCAATAAAAGGCCTAGAATACAATCCACCTAGAACCTAACAAAAAAAATAACAAAGAATAAAATCAGCCCATCACTCTATATTTTTTACAAAAGGATATAAGGCCTTGTTTGGTACACAGCTTCAATTTAAAAGGATTGGAATTGAAACTGGGATTGGGATTGGGATTGGGACTAAGATTGGGAATAAGGTTTTAAAATTATGTTTGGTATGGAGTAATATTTATAAGGAATACTTACTTATATTTTATTTTACAATTAAATATAAATCATAAAAAGACTATAATACCCTTAAAATAATAAAAAGAAAAAGTTTAACCTAGCTAATGCATTACCCTCCTCCCCAAAGAGCACAACGGCGCGTCTGCAATTACTCCCCTTCTTCCATAGAGAGCACGCCCCCTAGAGAGCACGATGGCACATCTACAGTTTCTCTGCATCTCCTCCAAAGAGCACGGCAGTGCACAAGGCCATTCCCTTTGCTCTCTCTGCCACGCTCAATTTTGTTCTTCTTCTTTGTCTTCTTGCTATTCCTTTTCTGGTTTTCATGTAGATCAACGGAGTAATAAAGATCTACTTACCAGTGACAGCGGCGCAATTGGGTTTTTGGTTTTCGATGGATGAAGGCCACTTATTCATTGGTGATGTAGATCGACAAAGTGAGATGGGAACTAAGAGACATCGTTCAATCGCCATTATGTCTGTGTGTGGTTGTTGTTAGTGTTGTGCCTGTGTGTGTTGCCGTCGGTGTTGTGCTTATGTGTGGCTGCCATCAGCATTGTGCTTGTGTGTGGTAGCCATCGGCGCCCTCGTTGTTGCTGTGAGGTAGGGTGGAGGTTAGAGGGTAGAGGGGGAGACGAGAGAGGGATGGGGTGGAGGGCATTTTGACCAAAAAATAATCAATACCAAAATTGATTTTCTAATACTAAGGGGTGGATAGTATTGAGTAATCCCACTTTGAAGGGATTGGGATTGGGATTAAATTTTTCATTACCCCATACCAAACATGAAAAGTGGGATTACCTAATACCAATCCCAATCTCAATCCCACCCTCCTAATACTATGTACCAAACATAACCTAAGATTTTAGAATAATTTTATAGGACTTTTTGCTATTTAAATTATTTGTATGAGACATAAGAGCAATTTATTCAAAGTTTAATTTTGATTGTTATATATTAACAAACGCTTTATTTTATTGATAATCAATGGTTAATAATTGTTAAGGCTTGAAAAGAAAGAATAAATTTGATTTTCAAAGTGGAAAGGCCTTCAAAATACGCCTGTTAAGCACATGTTCTTCAACAAATAACAGGCTGGCTGGATCATAGTGTCATACTCATAACAACACAGCGGGAGCAAAAAGGTGCTCGTAATATTCCCTTTTCTTCCCAAAGCGTCATTCGTATTTCTCAATGCACTTGCTCTCCATTGCTTCCTCTATTTTCACTCCAACAAATCCCTCTGCAACTTCATGCCATCTTCTGGAGATCACTTGGATGATTGCCCCTCATTCAGATTTGCTAAAGGTGAGTTCATTTAGCTTTCTAGGTTCTGTTTTTTTACCTTCGTCCCCCCCCCCCTCTCAAAATAGACCACCTTCGCGGTGTGGTCCTAGTCTCCAATTTTATGTTTAATGATTTAGATTTTGATGCAAAACTTTTGTGGATGTAGAAGGGTTCTGTGTATGGGGACCATTTAATTTTAATCTGTAGTTTCCATGTCTGCGAAGGAACTATCATTGATAGCCAAATAATCCGCCATTTGTATGAACGAAGTTGGCTCTTATCATCTCCATTGATAGGTGTTTAGTTGTTACTAGGAGACACTCAGAGTAATCAATGTGCCTTATGTGTCCCATTATATAGAGACATTTGCTTCTGCTTTATCTCCGAATCATAGACTATATCCCTCAGATTTTTCCCTCTCTCTTTCGTGTGGAAGCCAACGCTTTCCTCTTATTGAAAGTTTGAGAATATTTGTAGATTTATTTTTTATTGGTCCATCGTTTGCGTCTTTTTATGTACTCTGACGGCTCAATGGAAACTCCCGTATATTCATCTATTTTAAATTATAAATTTCGTCCAATACACTTTTCACCTAGTTTTCAATATGCTCCCTAAATCCTAAGGAGTATGATTGGTTGAATCAAATGTTCCTTAAAACAAGGGCCAAATATATAACTCAATGAAGTTATTTTATAGGGAAAATGACAATTAAGGACTCACTGTTTTCAACGTAACTGCTATTGTAACGTGAGAGGATCCACATCTATCGGTAATGACCCCTACTGGTTTTATGTGTGATGTTTTCTGCTCACCAGCTTGGTCCTTTCCATGATTCGAAGAACAATTCAGGGTTTTTCAGAATGATGAAACTTGGGTGCAAAATAACAATTTAATCTTTGTTTGGGATATGAGAAATCTCAAGGTTTCTCTCTGCATATCAACCCTGAGAGTTTTGGCACAACCAAGTTGAAAGTTTCGAACTCCAAGGGAATGTTAACAGATTGTTATAAGATGAGAAAGTTGATGGTTTTACCTATTATGTTGTTGTCCTTGATTGTATCGGTATGTTTACCCATATTCCATGATTTGGATTCCTTATATTTCGTGTTCTTGATGAATCCATTCTTTAGGAAAATTTCTTTGGCGACAAATTTGCCTAAACGTAGTGCAAATGATGAAGATTTGAATACTTTTCACAACTTATTTAGATTTAATTCGGTTTTGCCTCAAATTTATGGATTATAGACTTGAAAATCATCACCTTCCTTTGCGTTCTCCTTAATTCATAGTATTTGTATGTGTCTGATTCTTTTTTTTCACTGCACGTATTGGAGAGACAGGATCTTAATCTGCCACTAGACATGTGATATTGTTATCAACAATGGTATACTGGTTCTATATCTCCCAGTATACAATCATCTTCCATTTAATCAGATAGTACTAAATTGACATATCATCAGAACCAATTCGGTTCTTGAAATCATTGTTTTCTACCTTCACACACAGTATACATTTTTTCTTGTGATCAAGAATAATTTGATCTATATTCCAAGAGTATTACATGAATATGTACATTGAAATCATAACAAATGCCAATCGCTAGAAAAGAATAGCATTCCTGAAAACAAGTCCTTCCCAAAAAATAGCAACTAAAAATCCAAGCATCCCATCTTATGAGTTTGTTTTTGTTTTAATATATCTTCCTCTCCTTCCAAATAGGAATATCTTTAGAACCCTCTCCAGGCATTGAGAATTTCATGGAAGACTTCAGCAATCAGATCCCTATCTGCACACTGTAGGAAGGAGTTGAAATCATCACGAATGTCGTACATCTTCCCAAATTTTACTAGATATCGTAAACAACTACTCTTCAGTTTTGGTAATTGGTACAAGGATGCATTTTGAAGCCTCTCAAGAACATTTTTGGTATCAATATCTTCTAAAAGGCTTTCATGGCATGCCTCTTTCAGGTCAGATATGTCATATTTGTCAGCTGCATGAAGAAGGACAAGCCTGTGTGTGAGAAATTCTTCAGTTTTTATGCTACCATAAAGATAATTGAGGAATGCCTGGCAAGCATCAATGGACATGTCTTCAATGTTTATAGTTGATAGCTCCTTCTCCTTGAGGTTATGCGAGAACATGCTGCGAAAAACAGGGGATCGGGCAGCAAGAACTGCACGATGAGCTCCAATGCTTCCATCAGATGCATTGATCAGTATGTCTGTGTGGATTCCTTCAGCTAGCATTCGACCAAGAGCTTCAAGAGCCGTTGCATTTGATGCCTTCGGTGTAAGTCCTTCAGCCCAGATGGAGGAAGGTTCTCCACCCTGCATTACACCAGCAAGTTGTAAACGAGGTACGTAATTATTTAAGGTCAATGAGTTTGTTCAGAAACTTTATCTTGATTGAACATATGATTAGCATGATTCTTCTTCATTCTCACTTATTATTTATCAAGATTGAGTGAAAGGGATTGATATAAAGTGGTTGTGACTAGATCATTACAGTAGATTATAATTTTCTCAAAGTGAGGCAAAATAGAAGTCAAGGAAGTGTACGTTTGGAGATGCAGTCTTTAAATCAAGGAACTCGACGTCAACAATGAATTTCCCTGTTACTGGAACCTCGAGTGCCCAAACAAAGTCTTCGCTGTTCTTGATCAGTCTGTCTTTCACGACTGTATCATGTAGAGTAGTAATCAGTCAAAAAATGACAAATATGTCATCTTGTTAAGAATTTTAGGACACTACACCTCCTCCCCATGGAAAATTACTGAGAAATTTTGAATATGTATACATTGGATAATACATAACACCTTTTCTATCCTCCAATTCAACTTTCAAAACATAAGTCGGGCAAGGAGAGGATCAAATATGGCAGTGTTGAACAGAGAAAATTTCATACCATTAATTCATATCCTTTTTTTCCAAAATAATAATGAATTAACAAGAAAATAGATTCGGCTCATTCTGGAGTTTCAGTTCTTTATTAAGATTTTCACTGAACTCTTAATCATCAAGAGAAAACTCTTATACAGATGATGATTTAAAAAAAAAGGAAAACCCTCAACCTTCCTAGAATTATCCAGTTTATCAAAGAAAGGGGGAAAAAAAAGCAGAACTCTGGTTACCTGGATGGGTCAAGGCCTTGCGATCCCCGGCAGAACTAACGACCCGAATGATAAAAGATGCAATCGGGGGATTGTCTCTGGTTATATTCGAAATTTCTGGGTATAATTTTATAAATAAAACCCGGTTCTTCTCCACGGCCAAATGCCTTCACTTAAAAGAAAGAAAGAAACTCAGTCTATTTCAAGTAGGAAACTTTCCCTTCATTTTCTCTCATTTTCTGAGCTAACAAACACTCAATTATAATTTACATGAATTGAGGGTTGAGTGGCTTACCAGTTCCACTTGCCGATCTTGAAAGGATCAGATTTGCGGTAAGTGCAGGAAGCAGGGTTTTCGATTCTCCATTGGGCGAGGCGCGACGTGGTTTCGACTCTGTAAGCAGAATCGCTCATCCTACCAGAAAAGGCAAGAGCCACAGTAATTTCATGGATGCAATCGAAGATACCCTCCAACAGAAATTCTCCGGGCTTTCCCAGGTTGACTAATTCTTCTTAACCCTTCACTCCTCATTCATAAAAAAAGATTATACTCTGTTCTTCTTCACTCTGTTTCTCTCACTGTACAAGTGTAGCAATTAAAGACACCAAAACCCAGAAAGACACAAAATTTCCTATATGGGTTTTGATTATTTCTTAACTTCTCCCAATAGTTCCGGGCACGCAAGGATTTCGGAGTTGCTTCTACTCCATTGATAGTGAGCCTTTCCAGGAAGAGAGAGAGGAAGAAAATAATATATTTGATGCAAAGCTAAGAAAGAGAGTTAGAGAGAGAGAGAGAGAGACTGAGCCAAAGAGAAGGATTTGGTGGAATTGTTGGCTTACACAACACTTTCTTTGGTGTGGGATTGTGATGGGTGAGAGATATATATGGCTGATTATTGATTGCTTGCACCATTGATTCATTGATGGAAATACGAGAGGCATACGTGGATTGTAGTATTGACCTTGCCGGACCTGCTTGCAAGGGAAAAGCATATTTTAATTTTTGGTGCTTTGAAGCAAAGTATCTATCTATCAATCCTTTGGAAATTTCCAAATGACCCTTCACTGTTTTTGGCTTTGGAAACAATAAATATACTTTGTTTTACCTCTCAAAATACCATTGCCTCTCTGGGTTTCTCTCTTTGACTCTCTCTCTCTCTCTCTCTCTCTCTCTCAACTTTCAGGCAATGAATTATTCTGTTGTTCAGGGAGTGAGCAGTATTGTATTTTATTGCCTTCTGAAATGGGTAGAGAGGAACAGTCCATACTCAGGAAAATCAGTTTCATACCGTACGTGCCCATTCCTCCATGGTGATGTTTACTAGTGGACCAATAAAAACGCTTCACGTTTTGAACATTATCTGCTTTCTTGACCTTTTCTGCATAATTAGTTGGCCTCAATCTGATCCTCGTCGTCTCTTTCTGATCTTAGTTACGGAGAAGAAGATGAAGAAAGGCCAAGTGTATTTATGGTTTCACCGATGATTCTGCAGATAAAACAGGTGAGGTATTGATTGTTGTGATTGTTATTATTAGTTCAGGAAGTTTTCCAGAATTAGTGAGCCAACAATGTTTTTTTCCCCTCTTCTTTCTCTTGTTGGTTCGAGGTAAGATGAAGATAAGTGAAGCTTCTTGTTGGGGGAGGAATTCCAAAAGCTCAAAAAATCAATGTAATTAAAGAATCACAAGGAAATACCTTTCGTACCCAGCTTCAGCTGTTTAATCTTTAATCACTTGAGAAATTAGCCGCACTATTTTCTGATGAGTCCGTAGAGTGTAGGAGCTACTCTAGTTTTTTTTTTTAAAAAAAAAATTATTTGGATACTATCCCTTGAATATATCGAACATACTGATATAATAACGCGTATGAAAACTGTTTTTTTTTACATCTTCTCTTTTTGTACTAATAAAAATGCTAGATGAAAACTGAAATTTAAAAATTTTAAATAAAAATATTATAAATTATAATTAGGTTTGAAGATTATAGCTAGTACTTAATATCAAGTTTTGAGAATATTATCACTAAATTCAAAAAGTGTGCTACAAAACTATTTAAAATTATAACTTCCTTAGAATTTAACCATTTCAATGCTAACTTTTACTTATAGAATTTTAAAATAAGATCCTTCTGTCAATTACATGCATGCACAGAAGATCTTTCTTTCTTACCTACCATTTTGCCTTGGAAACCTATTTGCCTATCCAAGAGTCAACTATGAGGCAAAATATCTGTAAGGTGGAAGACTGAGTTTTAGTGTTTCGTGGCAAAATTTATCGATGTATCCTTGTATCCTTATAGTTTACAATATTTTTAAGTTAATTCCTACACAATTTTTTTTTAAATATATGTTTAAATGTTAGTCTCTAAACTTTAAATCTCTTTACAAAATAGTCTTTATAGGTGGCATGTCCGTTTATGGAGGAAGAGTTAAAAAGGAGAGGAAAATAAGGATTTGTTTAATTACTTATTTTCAGAATTTTTTTAAAAAAACTATTTAAAAATATGTTTTTTATGGGCTTTGAAAAATAGAAAATTTATTTTTTTCCAAAAAATAAAAAATATGTTTCCATGAAGAACAACTATGTTAACAAAATAAATAATTCTTTTACATTTTATTTCACCGCTTTAGATATATTTTTTAGAATAATAATTCAAACATATTTTTTTATTTTTTCAAAAAATTGTTTTAAAAAGCACTCCATAAATTGTTTTAAAACATAAAAACTAAAAATAAAATCAAACGAGCCCTAAAAATGCTAACTTTCAACTATCATGTACAACCAACGATCATATGCTTTGTTAATTAAGAGTCCTAGCCTACCCAACCATTCATCCAGCTTTATGTTGAAGCTAGTTTACATAAATAATGAAGATTAATATTTATTAGGTAACACAGCTTTGAAGAAGTTGCTTTCCATAAAATCCAAGTGGGAGCTATTCAACATGATTTCTTCAAGCAAACAGAGACAGCAAATGATTCTTCTTAAGAGTGTTCCAATAAGTTCAGATAGTGGGTCATGCCTAAACTGTGTTGATGAAGCTGATTGGAAGTAATGGAATCTTCAGGATTCAATTGTTCCTTTCCTTAAAAAAAAAAAAAAATCAAATATATCATCATCTTTTAGGCAGAAAAAATTGAAAGATGTAAGGGAAGGTGTGCAAGTTGAACATAAGTAGAAGACAAAAACCTTTTTTATACTCCAAGAGTATTGTTTATTACTATTTTTATCTTAATTTATAAAATATTTTTAAATAAATTCACACATGTTTTAATAAAGTAAATACACTTAACAGTCTTACTTTTTTTAAAAAAAATATTAATTTTAAAAAATATCCTTCATTTTATAATTTATTTATAAAAGAATATTAAAAAAAGAGAATATATAGAAAGAGTAATATAAAAAACACAAAATTAATGAAATTTTTTTTATTAAAATGTCTTAAATTTTAGAATCTAATTTTTTTTTCAAAAGCATATTATAAATTAGAATGGAAGGAGTATTATAAGGGCCAACCACTATCCAATTAGATTGCCTCAATTAATGGTTATTAGTTTTACAGTTCATCGTTTGCAATTAATAATTTTTGTGCCGATGACCTTTTTGTAATTTCATTTGGACAATCTAAATTTTAATATCTCTTATAATTTTTTTTAAATATTCATATTTAATTAAGACGGTTCATACAATAAAGTTGAATATTTTGATTATTAGATTTTGTAATATTGTATTTCATATTTGGAAGAGAATGACTCTTTTTTATTTATAAACAAAGAAAAGGGGGGGGGGGGGGAAACCCTGCTACTCTACTGAGTAGAAAGTAAACAACAAAGATACTCTACGGGTAAGAAGTGAAGGCAGCACAAATGCATGTTTTGATTAGCATCCATGTTTTCCTCTCTTTAAACATAGCCAAATTCCATTGTTTTATTAGAATCCATGCTTAAGCTTTTATTATGAGCATCATTGTTCCCGACCTTGATCAAATTAAGAGCCTCTGGGAAATTAGTTCTCAAACAAACCTTCTAATGTTCCTTGTCCCAAACTCATTCTAAAATCTATAAAAAAAATTTATGATTTTTAATTACGAATAGTATAATTCTTAATTTTATTATGAGTAAGCTCAGTTTTTTTATAAATGAATATTTAGATGAGTTGAACCTCAAAACTCATCAAAATTAAAGCATACTTTCATATTTAAAGAGTATTTATAGAAGCGCGCACACACATATATATATATATATTTATTTATTTATTTATTAACAAAAATCTTTATATCACTAGCGGGATTTAAAATAATGATCTTATAGGTAACAAGTCAAGTCTTTATCAAGTAAACTAACATTTGTTGGGAGCTTAGTTTTTATTATAAGAATAATCAAACTCAAAGTTAAATCGCATAGGCTATAGTTAAAAAATAAAAATAAAAAAAATTGTTTTCCCTCATTTTAGCTGAAAGTGTGTCAACAATGGTAGCTGGAAAGGTTGGAATAGATACACTGTATTTTTTTTTTACCCTTCTTTGAAAAAAGAAAAAGGAAGGTGACCTCTTTGATTCCCCATCAACGCACATGGATTCCAAGTGTCCATTTCGCTATCAATTATTAATATATATTATATACTATATTCTTAGCATGAAAATTGATCATATTTAAATCTTAATAGAAGGACAAGTTGGGTGGAAATAATGGCAAGTACTTGGTACCCAACGATGTTTCTCTGTCCACTTGTACTTCAAACTTGGACTGGTAGTTGCGACTTCTAGTTCAGAGCTTCGAGGGAACAGGGGAACTCGGTTACCATGTTTCAAAATACTTTGATTTAATCTATTAACAAAATAACGGTCATTTTTTAAATAATCAATCTCTCTTAAATTAAAAGTGTGGTTAAACTAGTATCATATTTTATTGATGAGATAATACAATTTTTTTCCTAAATTTTGTCTTAATTATCAATTTAAATTTTAAATTTTAAGTCAGTAACACTTAATTCTTGAAATTTATTAAGTCAATGAATTATAAGAATTAAATTGTATCAAATTAAAAATAGAAAAAACTACATCTAATTCTTACATAAGAAAATTTATTATTAAGAAGTGCCATAAAATTCATAAAACACTTTTAAGTCAATTCCTGTGCATTTACAACTTGATTGAGCATTGACAATTAAGTAATAGTAATTTATAACTTATTATTATCAATTATAATTTTTCTTGTAAGTTGTCAATAGCCGTTGTCAAGTTGTCATTACCTTTAATCAAGCTGTAAATACATATAACTTAAGACTTGAAAATATTTTACAAATTTTATGAGACATCTTAATAATAAATTTTTCTATGTGGGATCTAGATGTAATTTTTTGGTAAAAATATATGATGATTGAATTGTTATAATTTAACATTTACAGATTGAATTGATAATTAAAAAAGTTTAAAGACAAAAAATAATATTTTCTACTTATTAATTTGGTGTTGGAGAATACAAATTCCACATAAAAACTGACACAAAGAAATGAAGAGCGTATAAGCCTGTACCAATTCTAATCAAATAATTAAGCTATTTTGTTGAAAAGGTTAAACCCAAATGAAGCAATGTTATCCTATGCTTGGCAAGAGAGAAAAGAAAAAAAAAAATATATGTGGGGCTCACATATTTTTACTTCCAAGTTTTCTCTCCAAACATGAGGAGATTTTGGAAGAAAAATTTTATTCTTAAATTTATCCACTAATTTTTTTTTATGCAACCTCTTGCTTCCGTCTATTTTTATTATGATCTTTGTAATATAGTTACATTTTGATCATGAACTTTTATTAAACAATTAATATATTTAATTTTTAAACTAATCAAATAAATGCTAATTCTAAATTTTTATGTAAATTTTCAATTAAATACCTTATATTTGGGTGTACTTTTAAATTTTAAGATTATTATATATTAAATAATTTAATAAATAAAATTAAAAATTGGATAAAATATTTTTTTGTCCACGTTGGATAACATAATTTTTAGTTATGTTTTTGTTTAGTCAATAATATATGATAAAAATTATAATATATACAATATGTTAAAATATTAAATTTTATTATATAAATATTTTTATAAATAATAAGGTTATTATTGTTTATATAAAATTAATAATTTTTCTTTCCCTCTTGTTTTCTTTTGTTTAGCTAAGCATAATGAGAGAAAATTACACCCTCCACTTTTCTCTTCTCTTCATTTTCTCTTCTTTGTTTTTTTTTCTCTGCGAACCAATCACAACATTAAAGTTAATATTTGGAGGTAACACATGGATAATTAATCTTTTTAAAAGAAATGTTTATATTTATTTAGTTAAATGTTTGTTTTAATTTTTTGCTCACAAAAATTAGTCTAATTAATATAGATACTTTTTTATTCTTATAATTAGAAAAGATACTACTCCTATCTTATCAGGATGATTTGAATTTTAACATGAGAATTTTTTTAAAATGAATAATGTATAGGTATATCTATTTGAATGATAAAACGACTGGAAGTCGGCCAACTCCACCAGGAATTTCCTTTTACGAAAAAAGAATTGATTAATAAAATAATCTCGTGGACAACTGCTTGAGATTAAATCCGCTGCCGATATAAAGATCTTGCTAATGAATGATTTGTATATTTCTTTTTGCAATATAATAAAAATTTAAAATGATAAATTTCTCACTTGAATAACAGGATTTGAATCTATATTCTTATAAATCGGAATATCATCTAAATTTTACTTTT